TAATGTCTAAATCATGGCTGTAATACTAAAAGTCTTTGTTTAACTACTTCTTGTGCAAAGTTAATATGAAACACAAACATTTTAATCATCAAAACAGTGAAAATGTCAAATGTGTCGCATACACGAGTTTTCTTCCTCCAAACATGCAACAAAACTGTAAAAACTGTAACAAAATAATTTGGTAAAATAAACCAAAAAATCCTCTTGGTGATATATTGATACAGCAGCCCACGACATCGATACTGTATTATCACATTAAACGATATGATATATCGATATTTCAATATTTTTGTACACCCCTGCTTGTCTCCATTGGGATAGATAGGTTCAATCTGTACTGTGGAACATTCCAGACCAGGGGTGGGCAATTATTTTTTTCCATGGGGCCACAGGAGAAACTATTGAGGAGGGCCAAGCTCAATTCTGCATATTATTAATTGTATTTTTATATTAAAAAGCAGTAAATAGCATTGATTTGACGAGCTGGTAAGAGTTTATGTTATGATTAAGCAATGAAAAAGTGAGGTTGCCTTACAAAAAATGCCATTTAAAAACACCTCTAAAATAAAATATTATAAAATATGTTTATTTTGTAATTCCAAATTAGCTTAAAGTGGCTGGTCAGAGTCAACCAAAGGGACGTAAGTGCACTGATCACTGGATCTGAGTGAGCCAAGTACTAAAGCGATGTTGATTTTAAGACACTAACTACACAAGTTAATTTACTAACACTATATATTAAGTTGTATAAAAACAGATACTAAAATGAGTATTGATTTTAGCAGAAATCAGTGCTGAAAAAAATACATAATTAGGACAAAGCTGGATCTTTTCTGAACTTTTAGAAAAGATTTTGTTGTTTAAATCTGCTCTTGAGTATGTATTTGTTTCAATATTATCGTTCTATATCGTCTATATTTACGAGAACAATATATCACAGTTCAAAATGCGTTAACGTGACAGACCTAAGTAGTAGAAGCAACTACTTTGTCTGGGGCCCCCTGAAATAGCAATGCAACCGACCCGTGTCCCCCAGTGCAAAGACCTTTAAATCAGATTTAGCTGCGTTTATTTGAGTATGGATGTAGTATTATTTGCTTCAACTTCACAAAAAATAATTGTTTCTATAGCAACTCAACGCTATGAAGCGATAAATGGAGTCTATATAGCTCTGGCTTATGTGATTTTGGCTAAGCAGATTTCCCTTAGAAACTTGATTCATGACTTCATATGATCTCAGTGTCCGCAGAGGATACATAGCACATATCACAGCTCGGTATGTGGAGACCCAAGCCACACACTCACAGACGTCTGGCTGCTATTAGTTACAGAGGGAGGGAACATGGAGAAAAAGACAATGACCGATCTCTCCTTCGCCGACTCGGAGACCATCCTTCAACTGAAACTTTTCGGCGGGCTCAAAATAGACATTGGAAAAGGCATTAAAGCTGCAGAGGGAACGCAGTGGAAAGAGGGAGAGAGAGAAAGAGAGAAAAGAGGATAGGATGTGAGCCAGCATCTCCTCCCCCTGTCTCTGTAGAGGGCATTACGACATAAATCTGGGTAATTTATAAGTCACATGTGAGGCCAAATTCAATTTAATATGACATAAATGCAATTTCCTCTGCAATCGTAGAGCTAAGGATAGGGTTTCATGAAATAGAAAGGTAAAAGATGCCTGACATTTGCCCCATGGCTCAATGGATGGATCGGGCCCATTTCAGCTCAGGGTTTGTCTCTGTGCTGGTGAGATACACAAACATGGAGGAAAAGATACAAAGAGAACTACATTTTACTAAACCTGTCCTAATAAATAGTAGGAATATAACAATAACAGAAATATTGTGATGGTGTATCGTCAGAAGTCTCATAATAATATCGTGGGCAATCACTAGAGCTGGGTATCATTAACATGTTGCCGATACGATACATATCTCGACACACAGGCCACGATACGATACATATCTCAATACAGTGAGCTTACGATTTGATCCAATATATTTCAAATCGATTCGATACGGTTCAATAAAAATAAGGGCTAAATTGTGCCTATGATACTAAAAGTCTTTGTTAAACCACTTCTTGTACAAAGTTCATATGAAACAAAAACATTTTAATCATCAAAACCATGAAAACAAGCAACACAACTGTAGTGCTCTAACAAAATAATTTAGTAAAATATACTAAATAATACTCTTGACGATATATCGATACAGCAGCCTATGATCGTCACATTAAATTATACGATATATCGATATTTCAATATTTTTGATTCAATTCATTGTTATGGTGCAGCAATAGCTAAAAACCAGAGAGAACTACATGTACCATGATCCTTTGCTCTGTTTCAGTCCAACCTACATCATGAAAAAAATTTATTAAGAACTTTTAAATCTTAATTCTTCGGATTACGACAGAAAACAAGCATATTTTGTCTTAACAAAATATTGCAATACATATCAAACCGTGAGATGTGTATCATGAAAATATCAAATCAAGAGACTGGATATTGTTATATTCCTGCAGACATTTCAGAGGAATAAACATTTTTGGGTTCCATATATTGGATATATTTGGCGTATTTCTTATTTTTTTGCACCGTAACATTTTACCAAAGTGTTGAATATTTCACTTTACTTCTTTCACTTGTTCTTTCTTTCTTCTCTGCTAACACAAAACATATTTAGATCAACATGTTACTTCTTATTATTTTGAAAATGTAACCAAAAACAACATATTAAAATGTTTTAGGCTGCGTTTATAGGACGACGGTCTGAACAGAAGACGCAAAAGTGGCGGCGCATCTTCACTTTTTTTTCCACATTTAGACAAGCATTTTTCGGAGGAAATCTGCGTACACAAAGTGACGCAAAAGTGTGTAGAATTTGATTGTGTATGCATGCCAGGAGCCTAGGTGGTGACGCTAGATGGTGATGTATGTGATGTAAATGTGTACAGGACGTGAGCAGATCTGAACAGAGTTTTGCGTCTTGGGCAGTGTAAATGGAAACACTACAGACTCTGGAGGGTGATTTCAGATTTTGTGATTTCAAGCCCCAAAACAGCATCACCGTCTAAACAAAAGGCACTTTCGATAAAATATTTTGTCGTTTTTACCCGCAAGCGTTCTCGTGTAAACAGGCCTTCAGAAGTCTCCATTCCTTAAGTCACTCCCCCTTCAGAGCGCCATCCCAACACAATCAGCGTAAATCCCGCTAATGAAACTACTGCACATCGCATCAGGTTTGTGAAGTTGTAGTGCATTATCTTGTCTACTACTTTTGTACATTTATTGAGAATTGTCGCGTGGGAGCCTGGGAACCTCGTGGGCTGAGCATTGCACAAACGATTTTTATTCGTCTATTTATGTATCTCAGTGTGCTGTAATATAGTTTGTTTCAATATCCTGCACCTTGAACCCAGAATAATTTAGAAAATGTCTGGAAACTAAAATAACTGGTTACAAAAGGCCAGTTTAAATACATTCTGAAAGGTTTGGAAATTGAATCTCTGCTCTGTAACTGTTTTAGGTAACATTGTATAGTGATGTGTAATTGTCCAAATGTGTGTTGATGTTATGACTGATCTGTGCTGCTGTCTTGGCAACGGCTCCCTGGAAGAAGAGATTAGTCATCTCAATGGGATTTTCCTTGGCAAATAAAGATTACTGGGGTTGTTCTGCTTTAAGACTTTTGTGCCAGTAGCATACAAAAGTTTTAAACTGCGTGATATTTTTGTTGCTCTAGACCACAATTCAAAATGTGTTTGTGTCAGATTGTGACAAGCCCATAGGCCACTGAATGTGCCAACTACAACACAATTAAGATCATTACCTCCGCCAAGGAGGTTATGTTTTTGCCGCCTGTTTTGAAATTTTCTGTTTGTTTTTTGTTTGGTTCTGGATCTTTGAATTTTGTCTGTTTTCTGTTTCTCAATATCTCGGTTAATTATTGACCAAACCCCATGAAATTTGACTCAGGGATGGACAATGGGATCCTCTTTCATATTCCAAAGGCTGATCCGGATCTGATCCAGAAGACTGATTTTATCGCAATTTATATAAAAAATGGGGGTAGTCCTTGGCGGAGGTCTGCGCTCTCTGAGTGCTTTTCTAGTTATATTTAAGATTTTATGAAAAAAACTTTACATTTTATTCCCAGTTTGGCTTTTTTTAGGTTTCAAATTTTACTTTCTGATGCTACCAAATCCTAGGCAGGCTGGTGCCACCTAGTGTCTCTGCTCAATTTAATTTCTCTCCAGCGACTAGGTCAGGAATCAGAATACACTACATGGTTTGCAAGAACCCCGGAAGTTGTAGACCGCGCACCGACCAATCAGCGAAGAAATGTAAAGCCATAACATCAAACTCAAGCGCCTGTCTGGGTCCCTTTTGTGGTACAGCACAACAGTAAACAAAGCAGTTGAAATGGATGTAGACGAAGACATACCTTCTGTGTTGGCAATGATTCCCAAGATCAAAGATTTAAAGTTGAAACAAAGAGAATGTTTGGTGAATTTTATCAAGGGAAAGACACTATTGCGCTTCTTCCTACGGGATTTGGTGCATTACATACATCATGACCAAATTCTTGAAATAAAAAAGTACCCGTCTACCATTCAGCAAACGAATCCTAATGCTGCGAGGTCAGACGGTTTCCACGAAGTGAAACCGGCTGATGAATCATGCAAACCAAATCCTACCAATTATGAAAATCAGTTTGGAGAAGGAAGTAAGTACAGAGCAGTGGGCGAAAGCCAGGTTGATGAGGAATATGGCGTTTTGAAAATAACTGATTAAAGATTGCTTAAACATGCACGAATCACTCCAAATACAACTTCGAGAGGGTGAATGAGAAGAAGGAACAACTATGACATGGCTAAAAAACTGAAAGGTGATTTTGCCTCATAGGTCTGCTTTAACAATCAAAGTTAAATATTGTAGGCTGAGTTATCAAAATATTACCAACAAAACAGGATGAGCAGGTTATTTGTTTTCTTACGCTGGCGTTGCTGTAGCTGTATCTCATGATGAGGTAGAGAGTGGCACAGGCCTGGCTCCTGTTCTCGTCCACTGGGCTGCTGCAGTACTGGAGCACCTTCTGACACAGATCTGAACACTGCTCCGCCTCCTCCTCGAACAGCAGGTCTCCAAACTGAACAACAAATACACAAAAAATAAAGAAATAATCACATATACAGCAACAAAGGTGGGAAAAGGTCAGCCACATTTAAGGTACACTATGTAACATTTCTGGTGAAGGGTCTGCTATCTGCTTGTCGCCATGGAAATATGCCACAGTATGATAAAATGACATTAGACTTATCTCCATGGTGACAAGCATGTGTGCCAAGTCTGATCTGTGTAGAGGGGAGTGAGGGTTGTCTATGCTTCCAATCATAGATCAGGAACTTATACCGTAATTTCCAGACTATTGAGCGCACCTGAATATAAGCCTCATCAACTAAATTTTAACTAAATTTTTAAATTGTACATATATATGCTGCATTTGAATATAAGTCGCAGGTGTCCACGTCTTAAAGAAGATTATGAAGTTCGGGCTGTCTGCTTTTATTGCCTCTGAAATCTTTTGTCATCTTTTTGAATTGAGTCAGTTTGTCTTGCTGCCGTCACCAAAGTCTCACCAGCGACTCACGTGCAGCAGCTCTGTTTCCTTCTTTCACAGCCACATCAATCACCTTTAACTTAAAAGCTGCATCATCTGCATTTCTCCGTGTGTTTCCATGAGGAGGGTGAGTGTATGAAGCGCAAAATAACTGTTCAAAACACAATCAAACTAGAATCTTCCTCGACACATCACCCCCACCTCTCCCTGCACTCTATTGCGCATGTCTCCTGCAGAAAGAGTCACTGTCCTGTCTGTATCATGTCAGTGTCTTGGAGGATTTCAGCAGATTTCAGAGTCTCTCAGGAGCAGGGTCAGTTCTGTCAATCAGGTATGAGTGGATGTCCGGGTACTGAAGTTTGACACGTTTCTTCTCGTCATTTACACATTCGGGTAAGACGTATCCCCCTCACTAATGTTCATTTAGCATCATAACTTATTTTATCACATGGCAATAAACAATTTGAGTGCGCTGACAATATCTCTAGCACTAGAGCCAGGTATAAACCGCACAGACAGCGATGTTTTCTGCACTCAGGCTGCGCTCGTATCCTCTGTGTTGCCAAACCATAAACCGTACATATGAATGGACAAAGTGCCAAACAAATAATCCATCCATATATTCGCTGCATCGTTTTATTAGACGCAAGGTTCAAAGTGTGAGAAAAAAGTAGCAGTTTATAGTCTGGAATTTACGGTAATAGTTTTTTTTTTTTACTCAATTCTATTTCCAGAGTCATCAGCTTTAATAACAATGTAAAGAATTAAATTAATCAGGATTACAAAATTAATTTAAGGGAGTTATGGTTAGGAATTATGGTTAGGAGTACTGATTAAGCCTGAATCATTCTTAAAAAACAAGTTGTCCATTATGAATCTAGTCTTTGCTCATGCTTTGTTAAGGCTTTTAAAAGTGTAGTTACTAAGTGTTACCAATTTTAGTTCTTATAACCCCCGGCTGCGGTTACACGCACACTCAAAATCTCATTATTACCCAATTTTTCGAGTAAAAAGATGATTAAAATGGCATCAGCAAAATCTTCTAATTTCTTTCTGATCATGGTCTCTCTGATTACTCACATCAGATTTCGCGATTAGCATGCCATTTAAATAAAATTAAAAGTCCAGAAATCAGATAATCAGATTTTGGTGTGCATGAAACTGCGGATCACTATTCATGATCACATCCACGAGCATGAATATTCTCCCAATTCTCTTGTTGTTTTTGGTTGAAATTCGCTGTAATAGCCTGCATAAGAGAAGGTGTAAAATTGTAATTGATACTTTGCAGTGACATCACGCTGGGGGTGTACTACATGTATCTCTATTGGTGGAATGTTCATTAGTTATCATGGTGACACATTAGCAAAAACACTGACAAAAAAATGTGTAAGATTATCTGTGAGAGATTTGTTTAGAGGCACAAAATCAGCTTGTGTGTTGTAGTTCCAGCTAAATCAATTCTTTCTGGTCAGATTGTGTTAAAATAAAACTCAGATTAAAATCTAACAAAAGCCTCAGACAGAGCAGTGCTTACAGTTAGCACCCGCCCCCAGGAAATGTTGATGACGGGGTTCGCTGGCTATTCTGACATCCCGACACTTTTTAGTATCGCTATTCTGACCCGCATCAGCACAATAGGCCGACCTGACAACTACGTGACCCTTAGGCAACATTTGTTTGCCTCTTCTTGCTATTAAAAGGCAATTTTGTGAATCTCAAATCTCGTGAATCGTTTAATGACCACTCAGCATTTCTACACCTGAGCTCATGCCGCTGATAACAGGCCATTTTTGGTATGAGCGAGTAGAACAGGCTATCACATTAATATTACCGTTGTAGGTTTTTCTCATGGATGGGGTCCTACGACTTATACACGAGTGCGACTTATATATAAAAATGTTCACACTGACAGCCTGGAGAGGGCGCTCTAGGTTTGTGTGTCAGTATCTGCTACTACTATTACTCCTGTGCCACTGTCACTTCACTCTACTGCGCATGTCTCCTGCAGAAAGAGCCACTGTCCTGTCTGTATCATGTCAGTCAATCGCACCAGTACCTCTGTACCACTGAACATTTAAACTTTAAGTGACTTCAGTGACACCGAAACCATCCTGTCGGGATTCAGAAAGGCTGGAATAATTCTAACTGGAACTGATGCTGAGTCTGACGACAGCTACACAGAAGAGAAAGCGGCGCTCTATTTACCTCCGGAGGTCGTGGAGTTGCTCAGAAGTGACACCAAGGATGAAGAATTCAATGGATTTAGTGATTTGGAGTGAGATTGAGAGTTTGGTAAACTTGTTATGTTCTGTTGTTGTTATTCTGTAGTTGTCTGAATAATTGTTGATATGTTACGTTAACAGCCTGTTCTATTGTTATTACTACTTGTCTTTCAAGATGAAATGTTGGTTCCTGGTCTCTGATTTTATATAAATTTATGTTAATATATAAATAAAATTATAATAAATTTCCCCAAAAAAGTGAGAGTTATAGTCCAGGGCAACTTATAGTATATGTTTTTTCTTCTTCACTACGCATTTTTTGCCTGATGCGACTTAAACTCCAGAGCGACTTATAGTCCGAAAAATACGGTACTCATGTCGGAAAAGTGGAATGTTTGAAAAATAGTAAAGTACCGCTACTCAGAATAAAAAATAATTATAATAAAATAAATAATAAAATGTAGTAGGACACATGAAAAATAATGTTTATACGGCTACGACAATTGCACGTCAATGTCTAAATAGCGGCACATAAACGTTAATGCCATCAGCAGCAAAGTATCAACAGAAAATAAATAGATAAAGAGACATGTTACCTTGACGATGAGCGCCCGTAGTGTGCTGAAGGTGTGACAGAGGAACGTGGTGCTCTGATTACAGGTGAGGGAGTGAAGGAGCACCCTAAGGACCCCACCCACCACACTGTCCTTACAATCAGCCAGTGGCACCGCCTGGACACAAGGCAAAAGCACTCAGTTTGATAATTACTTTATACTTGGGCTTGGTGAGTGTTCCTAAGTGATGGTAAGTAGATATTATTTATGCAGACTGAGATTTCAAAATTGTCAAGGAGAATGAATTTTAATGTTTTTAGTCAGATTTGAGGATAAAAATAGCTTGGTAATTTTGACTCATTCTGGTTTATGTAAAATGCAACAGGAAGCTGAACCATTATGAACATTGTAGAGCACAGAAATATTATAGTTATTTGAGTTTTCAGGTAAGATTGAAGGAGAAAATTGGGATTGCAGTTATTGTTTATAAACCCATATCCACAATATAGCTTTAATATGCACTGTTTACTTTTTTCTTTCTCATTTTTATTGCTTTGGGTATATGAAAATGTGTTTTTCTAAGGTATTACCTGTACAATGGTTTCCAGCAGATCCAGAACGATGAGGTTTGCTTCCGTGGCCAAATTTCCACTGATCAAAGCTTCTTGGTCCAATTCTGCTTTTGTTCTGATAAAAAGACAAATAAAAAAACAGATTTAACACACATATGGCATTAAACTTATTCATTTCCATGGAGACTAGCTGGGAAAGTTAGGAAAGATCTGTGGAGAGGCGACCTGCTCACAGTAACAATGCATGTTTTTCAAGAGACTTAAAGCAATAAAACACAGCATACAGTTTACATTCGTCCCTCACTATAACACGATTCACCTTGCGCGGCCTCGCTGTTTGGCAGATTTTTTCTGTGCAATTTTGCATTCTTTTTTTTTTACAACGTATGAACGCACATTGTATTACTCCCCCTGCGTCCTGATTGGCTGAGGGACTGTAGACCGTTGTCAATCAATCTCCTCCGTGCTGTGTCTCCTGTACAGTACAGAATGCGTTCAGCTTGACAAATTTACAAAAATTTCGATCTCTAGCAGTGTGATTCTGAAGTTTTCTCCCCCAACAAAACACACAATGTCGATGAAACGTTCTGCATTGACAAAGGCTCCTGCGGTCGCACCAAAAGGCAGAGGAAGATGCAAACCATCGCACAAAAAGTTGGACTTCTGGACTGGCTGTAGGGCTCCATTACGGAATAAATTAATCTTGGGTTTGTTACATAAAAAAGGAGGAAAATAACATGAGGACGACAGCAGCAGTAAGTTTTAAGAATAATGTAAAAAGGGTCGTAACTGTCCTGTCTGAGAAAAGTGTATAAAGCGTGTGGTGAGGAGATTTATAGCCTTAAAACGTATATAACAATAAAGCTGATTAATTTGCAGGTTGCGCCTATTTTTAGAACGTAACCCCCGCGATAAACGAGGGACCACTGTAATGAATAAATGCTTGTTAGATAAGTTTAAGACTGAGGCACATTCTAGGCAAAGTAATAACATCCCCATGGAGACAAGCAGGTGGCATATCCTCTACCAGAAATGTGACATAGTGTAGCTTTAAATTCAAGGACAATTAAAGATCATTCTAAACTCGACCTACTTATCTTGTCGATCATTGGTTTGCCTCCACTGGGTCAGGTCTTTCCTCCAGCGTCGGTTGTCTCCATAGCTCAAGGTTTTGTCCATGCCTGTGAACAGAATTGAAACAGATTTTTAAGGTTTAAATCAAGTCACACGTATAATTCAAACATTATGAAAAGGTGAAATTTTACCTCCAACTCTCTTCATCATGTCCCCTCTGGCCCCGGCCCCCTTCAGCAGAGCCTCCTCCAGCTGCAGCTTGGCCTGCTGGGACTTCTGTAGCGCCAGAGCACTCACTTTGTCTGTGCTCTGCTTGCCCTGAAAATCACATATTTTAAATTTATGGCCCATTTTACATTTTATATTTCAGTCATCAACATTACAGGTGCAACTGACTTTTTCCAGTGGACGAGTCAGTGATTAAGTGACAAGTCAAACTGTTAGTTCCATTGTACATAAGATCTTTTTAAATATATTTTGACAAAAACATCTTGTTGGGAGCAAGTGTTATAAAAGTAACAAATTACTGTAATGCATTGCTTTTTGCTGTAACTCAGTAAATATAAGGCATTACAGGGAAAAAAAATAGTAATATTTTACTCAGTACAAATGTCAGTAATGCGTGTTATAATGCATTTTTAACCTGGATTGAAGTGGGAGGTTTTTTGTTTTTCTTCATACAAATTCCCTAAAATCACTGCGTAGATCGTCGGGTAACCACAGGCGAAAAGACCGGCGCAGAACTCCACCCTCCACGGGGCTAATCGCACCTGATGCCCGATCGCACTTTGCGGACACCACGCTCCACGGGCTTGGGGTTCTCTCAGGGGCGGTCCTAGATTCCAAGTCCTAGTCCTGGTTTAGTTCTGGTTTAGACCTGGTTCAGTACAGGTTCAGTCCTTGTTCAGCTCTGGTTTAGTCCTGATTTAGTTCTGGTTCAGTCCTCGGTTCAGTCCTGGTTAAGCCTATATATGGTGCAAAAGTTCAGCATTTTCACTCACTGATTGTTATTTGACAATCAGTGACAGTTATTTTGGTGAGCGTAACTTTAAAGTAATACAATAGTCGTGCAATGTCTTACTTTTTAAATGCAGTAATATTGTAATGTAACAAATTACTTTGAAATGACAGTAACAAGTAATAAACAATGCATTACAGTTGTGAAGTAACTTGCCCAACAGTGTGTTTGAGTAACCATTTATTATTAGTCTCTCTATATCTCCAAAGCTCAAAATACTCAATTCCAGGGCTGAAATTATCCAAATGATTGTAGTGAAAGTGTATGGAGTTTAAAAACACAGTGCAGCACTTCTTGTATTACCACATGACATCACAAGTTGGAATATAACATAGATCAGAAAATATCATTATATAGAGTCTTTAAACAGGCTGTAAACTTACCCTGTATTCAAAGCAGGAGAGGCAGATGGTGAGGAGCTCCAGCAGTTTGTTGAGTTGTGAAGGGGGCATGTCCACCGTCCAGCGCTGGATCAAACTTAGGTCTGCGTTCTTCATCACCCAAAGGAAACAGACGAGCAGGTTTCGACTGGTGTCTGCGGGCAACGTGGCTACGGATTTGCCCTGCTTGGAAAAACAAAAAGACCGAAATGAAGCAAAGAGAAAGTTTGAAATTCTGGAAGAAACTTGTAACTCATTTTTCTATTTGAGATAAATAAGAGATGCAGTGGTTAGTAGAAGTGGTGTAGTGGGGATTTTTTAAGTCATATACTCAACTTGACATGTCAAAATACACATTGTTTTCTTATTTAAAAAAACAAAATCACTCTCAGTAGAAACATAAAGGCTCCACCCCAGTAAAAATCTGTAATATTTTATTTTATTTTATTTTTTTAATTAACGCAGAATTATGTTTTAACATTAACACCGTTTATATTCACCTAAAGAACATAAACCACAGTCTACAACACATGAACCAGGACTAAACAAGGACTGAACCAGGAGTAAAACAGGAGTGAAACAGGATTAAAACAGGATTAAACCAGGACTAAAACCAGAACTGAACCAGGACTAAACCAGGACTACACCAGGTCTAAACCAGGTCTAAAACAGGACTAAACCAGGACTAAACCAAGACTAAACCAGGACTAATCTTGGACTTGAGAAAGGGGAAGAACCCGGAGCCTGCAGAGCAAGGTGTCCGCAAAGCGCGATCGGGCGATGCGTTTAGCCCTGTGGGGTGTGGAGCTCTGGGCCGGTCCTTTCACCTGCGGTCACCTGACAGTCTACACAGGCCCACCTCCGGGCCCGTCCCAACACTCAGTCCTGGTTCAGTTCTGGTTTAGTCCTGTTTCGACCTGGTTAAGTCCTGGTTCAGTCCTGGTCCCTCATGTCGCTGGTCACTATAGGACAGTACTGCAGATATCATGAGCCTGTGCAGGTTGTTTTCACCTTTGCCAACACCCCCGGTTTGACATTTAAGTTGTAGCTATTTTATATTTGTTATTTTTAATCTGTATTCTGTGTCCCCAGATTTGAGGTAAATACAGCCAATTTAAAAATTGTTCTTACTGAAAAACAAGTCATACACTGGACATAATTGTTTATGTAATAATTTGGCTATTTGGTTCTCAGTAAGATTATCCAGTCAGAAAACAAAATGAGCTTCCTCACATCTGGCTGCCAGTTTCAAATGTTGAAATCCAGGTAATTAAACCGAAAATGCCTCTCTCTGATCTGAATCCTCACTATCAAAACTCCAGCATCTGAAGCCAATCATTAGTCAGTGCTAGTGCAGCCTCTGGAGGTTCTGGGCTTGCAAATGAGTCTTGGCCAGTCCATTTAGTGAAAATTAGAGCTTTTATTCATACCGCATGCAGCTGAAGACACTGGCAACCCAGACTCAGTTGTGATTCTACATTTTTAAAACAATCAGGCTACACAGAGTACTTTTAAGATGTTTGTGCAGGCATCAACCAAGACAGAATCAAAAGCAGAAGTACTTTTTGCCAACATCGCTACCCTTAATTTACCTGTTACGAATGTGGGCACTAGACATAAGTACAGTATAGGTGTTGGTTATACTAGGTCTTGTTCTGCGGTGAAATAGAGAGCGAGAGAGGCAGGTTGAAGGTGGGACACTGGAGCTCCAGGAGGTTAATGGCTACATTCATCAAATCTGCCACACAGTGAAACAGCAGCAGCCCACTATAGCCACTATTCATCATTACAGCAACGAAGCTAAATTAATCTGCAGTGCGTTTAACCCCTATTAGAACGGGCCAAACTTCAGCAGAACCAGTGAGTTGGCTGATGGGTCAGACAGGATTATAGGTCAAAAACACAGCGTGAGACGTGCACAATGCTCAGGTAAGATATACTTTATTGTTCCTACAGGTTAATTTGAATAATAATGAGTTTTTCAAGAGTTTTGTGGGATTAGATTTGCGATTTATGCTTTAAACCCAGTTCACCGTACACATTTTTGTTGCATAACCTTGCCCAGGAAGATGGATTCTAGCGATATTTGTCAATTCACAAAAGCACGAGAATCCATCTTGGGCCCCGTTGCTGCGATAGGGCCCGACAGGACGCGTTAGTATGCTGGCTGTTGTTACCGTTACCACCACGGGGCTTACAAACTAATTGCGGTGAATAATCAGGAAGCTTGGAATGCATAAGGCAAAGTGAGGAATAACGCTGGACCACTGCAAACCATTTTAAATCAAATACAAAATCCGATACGGCATCTTTAACCAACAGCCCTGCGATGAAATGGGCACATTTTTTCCGCTCAAGAACGAGAAATAACTAGAGTTGTTGTGGAATATGAGAGCCGAACAGCCGCATTGACTTTAAGTGGCCGTGTTGTTGCTGTAGCTACAATTGATTGATGTATTTGTCAAAGAGGACAGCCCTGTTCACTTATGATGGCCGAGTCTGCCCATAAAACATTTCCTGTGTGGATGTGTGTGTAGAGTGTGCGGGTGTGTGCGAGTGTGGGGGTGTGTATACGCTCTGTGTGGGTGTGTGTGTGTATGTATAGTGTGTGTGTTGTATTTTTTCACGATGGATGGAGAGTGTGCGGCGTGTTGACAGCTAATCAGTCTACCTCAGTGCAGCTCACCTGTTAAGAGCTTGGCACTCTCAGATACGATCGCCCACATGTAGATAAACACATAAGCAGTGTTGGGAAGTAACTGAATACATGTACCAAGAAAATGTATCCTGAATGCTCATATCGTGATATCTTATCGTCAAAGTTCTCACAATAACATCGTGGACCATCACAATATATCGAATTACAAGTCTCTTTTCTTAAATTAAGAGTTATGGTGCAGCAATAGCTCAAAAAAAATGATCCTTTGCTCCATTTCAGTGCAGACTACAAAATGAAATTACAGTTTTAAGCATTTTTAAGTCTTTGTTTTTTGGATAAAGTCTTGTCAAGGCATTTAAGAGGAAAAAGTATTGTAATAAATGTCATACCGTGTGATGTACATCGTGAAAATATCGTACAGAGAGATTTGGATATTGTTACATTCCTAGTAACTGTATTCGAGTACAGTTACTTTTTTATTTGGTGGTAGTTACTATGGATGTAATAATAACCAAAATATCGTGATGTCGTATCGTCAAAATTCTCACAATAATATCGTGGACCATCACAATATATCGAATTACAAGTCTCTTTTCTTAAATTAAGAGTTATGGTGCAGCAATAGCTCAAAAAAAAAAGACAGAGGGAACTACATAGACCATGATCCTTTGCACCATTTCAGTGTAGACTACAAGAAGAAATAACAGTTCTACGCACTCAAGGCATTTAAGACGAAAAAGTATCGCAATAAATATTGTACCGTGAGACGTATATCGTGAAAATATCGTATTGAGAGATTCGGATATTGTTACATCCCTTATCGTGAGCTTTCCCACGATATCGCAATAAATATCGTACCATGAGGTTCACACCGTGATGATATCGTATCGTGAGACTTGGATATCGTTACACCGCTAGTAACTGTATTAGAGTACGGTAATTTTTTTATTTGGTGGTAGTTACTAGGGATGTAACAATAACCGAAATATTGTGATATCGTATCGTCAAAAGTCTCACAATAATATCGTAGACTGTTACAATATATCGACTTACAAGTTCCTTAGCTTAAATACATTGTTTTACAGTAGCACTAGCTATTAAACATCGGTAACTACATATCCCATGATTCATTTCAGCGCAGGCAACTTGAAGAAATATTTTTTTTACTTGAATTCTTGAGATTATGACAGTAATTCACACCAAATCCTATCTACAATTACATCAGCCTCTCCAAACTATCGCAATAAATATTGTACCGTGAGATGCATATCGTGATAATATCGTACCGAGAGATTTGGATATAGTTACATTCCTAAAATCGAAGAAATACATACATGGCGGAACCTGATCACATAATTTAGGCTTTGAACGGCTTAATATTACAGAGAAAAATATAAAACATATCTCTTGTGGCGTGTGCAAGTGTGATTTTTTTCTTCTCTGATCAGCTATAAATAAATCCATAACTGGGAAACAAAAATTAAGATGTTTTTAATCCTATATAGCGTGTTTAAATTCAGAATACAGTGCTTTGATTGAACCATGTATCAAAAGTATGTAGCAAAATACATTTTAATTCAGTATTCAGTATTCTATAACTAAACACATTTTCAATATTTTCTTCCCATCACTGAACAAAAACAAGTCTTAAAGTGCATATGACAGTTTTATCACTTCTTTTTGTGGGATAGTGCATGCGTAGTTCCTATAAAAGTGAAAGCTACAATTTTTATACAGTATTTGAATAAAATATATCCAACCAATCATTTCCAAAAACAAAGATTCAAATGTGAGAGCAGTAAATGTGCGTTTAGGGACACAGGAGATGGAAGATCTTTTCTTATTGTGTGATTTTGTACAACAGTTTTGGCTTGATATTCAGTCAGGGGGATTCAGTTTGTTCCTCGAACCAGTAAAGAAGTTAAATTTTTATTCTGAGAGTTAATAATGAGACTGGGTATGGTATCAATAATTTACTGCTTTTAGGTATATCCATTTTATTCACAAATGCTGTTTAAGAAAAGAACAATCGACCTCAAGCTTTTAATTAAATCATTGAGCTTAATTGAAAGTAAAGAGGCTGGTTTTCTTGTGTCCTTTTGAACGATTTTGATTTACTTAAATAAACTAGAGCTTTTAAATCCACCTGTATTTGTTGATATTCTATTATTGTCTTGCCTTAATTTAGTTTTAACAATTTATTACCACTTTGACTGTATTGTATATGGTTCGCTATTTTTTAGTATTCGAAAATTTGCTATTAAAAAATAAAATATGGTAAATACGTATACACCAGTCATTTGTCAGTTTGTGAAGATTTTGTTAAATAAAATAGCTGAAAATAGAATAAATAGTGCCATGTTCTTAAAGAAAATCCCTACCTGTGTCAACAAAATGCAAAATTAAGAAAAAAGAGAAAAGATTAAGGAACAATTACACTCAAAGAACAAATTTTTCTGACAATTTATACATTGATTCATCAAAACAAAGGTACTGATGTGTATTTTTAGTTGTCAAATCATAACTATGACTGTAAATTAGATGGTCGCAGTCATGAAAATACCACTACTTATGTCATATCTGCTGCCCATGTCCAACCAGAAAGTAAAAATTTTACCAAAACTAGAGAAAGTAGGCACGATTTTTGGTTCTAAATCTAAAATAAAGTATTTTAGCTACATTTTATGAAATTTATACTCTAACCTGTCATATGCACTTTTCTTATTTTCAGCATTTTTCATAATACGTCCAATCATAAAACCATATCTTACCATCGACGCCATGGAAACGAGCACATTGCGGCCGAGGGTGTTGAAGGGGTTCCCGGCGATCGCCATGGCAACAGACTGATTGATGGGCGGGATGTTTTCAAGGTCATCGTCCGGTCCCCCAGACTTGTTTTTCCCGCCTCGGCTGTCACAAACTGCACAGGTGAACAGATGTGAAGAAAGTTGTTAAGTTTAAAATATGGTTTGGGTAAAGGAAGACTGACCACAGATATTTAATTGTTCATTGTTGAGTGTTCATAAAAGTCTAATCGTAAGGAGTAGGGATGTAACAATACCCAAATCTTTCAGTACGATATTATCACAATATGCATCTCACGGTACAATATTTATTACGATATTTTGGAGAGGCTGATATAATTGTAGATAGGACACTTTTTTCCATTTAAAAAACTTCGACAAGATTTTGGTGCGAATTATTACGTCATAATCCCAAGAATTCAAGTAAAAACATATTTCTTCATGTTCACTGAAATGAATCATGGGATATGTAGTTCCTGATGTTCATAAGCGCATTTAAGCAAAGGAACTTGTAATTCAATATATTGTGACAGAGCACGATATTATTGTGAGACTTTTTGACGATACAGTATCACGATATTTTGGTTATTGTTACATCCCTAGTAAGGAGGGTTCAAACAGGGCCCGGGAGAGATCGCTAGATTGCTCAGACATACATTGATGACATCCAAAACCTCTTCAGTCACGTTTTTGCTGAAAGAACAATGTTATAATTTGGTAGAAAAATCCAAAAAGTCGATTTTGTATAATACCCCCTCTTCAATAAAGCATGAACAAAGACTCGATTAATAATGAACAGACAAATAATTTATTAAGAATGATTCAGGCTTAGTACCGACTTGGAAAGGTTAGGAGATTAATGAATGGAGTGGACCTTTGTTCCCACAGCTTTATGTTACCAACCTTAACTAAAATCTCAATCTCAAATGAATAGTAATTAATAAACTATTTGTTCATTACTAATTAAATCTTTGGTCGTGCTTTATTAAGGCTATTAAAAGTGTAGTCAATATAAAGTGTTACTAATTATCATTCAGTTATATGTTCATACAATTTCTTTTAAAAGAGGGCTAGTCTTGTTGCTCAGAGGCGGCGCTACCATTAGGCAAAATCAGGCGGCTGCACTGGGCCCCCAAACCTGGAGGGGCCCCCAAACAATTGCCCTCAGTGACACGAATGGCTGAGGCTTCAGAACAATTTGATTTTCTCTCAATATGACATTAAATAACAGTAGTTTACTTTTACAATAGTCATAAGAAAAATAATAATAATCATATGTAATGGATGTAAACAAAAATGTAATTGTACTAGCAAAAAAATAAAAATCTACTTTCAGCTCTGGTTTCCAATCCACCGTAACTCAAATAAATAGAGATGTGCATGTCTCAAGAACAATGGAGAAAAACAGACAATACATTTATTAAAAAAACAAAACAAAAACTGTGCATTATAGTGAGGGCCCCAAACTCAAATTCGCCTAGGGCCCCCAAATTGCTAACTCCACCACTGTTGTTGCTAAGGTACATTTAGAGTGAAAATATTACTCCAAAATTAATATTAAACACATTGCAACATATATAATGGTGGGCGATGTCAGGCCTGAATATAAAACTGTACTCTAAAAAAGCAGTAAAATGTGTGTACTGTACCAGTGAAGTCCAGATAATTAGTGGAGTCGATAATGATGCCCACAAGAGGGAGGTAGAGAGCAGCCACTTTAGCTCTGACTTCAGGTTTCACACAGCGTTGGTCCAGATCGTGAGTGCACAGCAGACTGTAAACAGCATTAATGGCTTTTCTTTGCACCTTCGCTCTGCACACACAAACAAATACACAAATATAAACAGTAAGTACAAGCTGTAATCCGTGTATCATTCGTTCATCAAAATGAAACCAAAAATATGAAAACGAAAAAAAAACAAAAAAAAAAACATCTATTTTCTTCATTATTTGTCTCCAAAACCAAAATGAAAAAAACGGATGACGATTTGTTTTTTCAGGTTTCGATTTTGTGTTTAAATGAATAATTGAAAAAATGGAGGCTGGCCATTTCCCGTTTCAGTGACTTAAACTGCGATGTCGGACTGAACCAGGACTAAAACAGGATTAAACCAGGACTGACCCAGTACTGAGTGTCGGGACGGGCCTGGAGGTGCCCACCAACGTAAACTGTCAGGTGATCAGAACTGAGACCAGGACTGAAACCGGGACCAGACCAGAACTGAGACCAGGACTGAAACCGGGACCAGACCAGGACTGAGACCAGGACTGAAACAGGGACCAGACCAGAACTGAGACCAGGACTGAAACCGGGACCAGACCAGGACTGAGACCAGGACTGAAACAGGGACCAGACCAGAACTGAGACCAGGACTGAAACCGGGACCAGACCAGGACTGAGACCAGGACTGAAACAGGGACCAGACCAGGACTGAGACCAGGACTAAAACCTGGGACCAGACCAGGACTGAGACCAGGAGTGAGACCAGGACTGAGACCGGGACCAGACCAGGACTGAGACCGGGACCAGACCGGGACTGAGAACGGGACCACACCGGGACTGAGACCAGGACCAGACCGGGACTGAGACCGGGACCAGACCGGGACTAGGACTGAGACAGGGACCAGACCGGGACTGAGACCGGGACCAGACCGGGACTAGGACTGAGACAGGGACCAGACCGGGACTGAGACCGGGACCAGACCGGGACTAGGACTGAGACAGGGACCAGACCGAGACTGAGACCGGGATCAGACCAGGACTGACGCCGGTTTAGTCCTGGTTTAGTCCTGGTTTAGTCCTGATTTATTCTTGGTTTATACTTGGATCAGTCCTGGTTCAGTCCTGGTTTAGACCTGTTTTAGTCCTGATTTAGTCCTGATTTAGTCCTGTTTTAGTCCTGATTTAGACTTGGATCAGTCCTAGTTCAGTCCTGGTTTAGTTCCGTTTTAGTCCTGGTTCAGTCTTGGTTCAGTCCTGCATCGCAGTTTAAGTCACGTAAACGGGAAACGGCCGTTATACCGCTTTTTCCATTATTCATTTAAACACAAAATCGAAAACTGAAAAAACTAATTGTTATCCGTTTTTTCATTTTGGTTTTGGAGACAAATAATGTCAAAAACTGTTATTTGTTCGTTTTCTTATTTTTGGTTTTATTTTGAAGAACAAATGAACGAATGATACACGGATTGGTTAGGGCTGAAAATCTGACACAAATCAATACTTAAACTAATATTAAAACTAGATACTCATTTGAACAGGTGTCGTTACTAAAAAAGGCACATCCACTGGACACAAATGAACCTTTCCTGAATAGTTTGAGAATGATTTTGAGCTGTGTCAGAACATGTATAAGATTAAGATTTGAGATATAAGACCACATGGTAATATAAAAGAAAGTACTGATTTAATGTTGAAAATGGCATAAACAATTTTGATTATCGAGTCTATTCCTTAGTCTCGAAATCCCTTAGAAATTCCTAACATCATAAAAACCTACCGTATAAAATTTGTTGACCTGGTTTATGGTTAATATCTGTGTAATTACTTGCCCACATGAAACACAAACTGGCACTAACGTCTACTCAGTCAGCATAAATAAACAAAAGTGAATTATTTTTTTCCACAATAGCTTCAGAAAGTGGTGCCATTATTCAACCCCAAAGACATGATTGTTGTCAGTTGAAAGCACTTTAAGCCATGCAATTAATATGACAAGTCTGTGGAGACAATCCCTAACAAATAATGATAAGGTTCAACATTTTGTGGATAAAAGTTTCAAAAACAATCTTCCAAAAACATTGATTCTCCATAGAGTTTTACAAACCCCTGCCCTGCATCGGAAATTATGTTTAAAATGTGCACTCAACCGATCCATGGGTTTCAGAATGATGAAAAGGTAGGACTGTTGTCATAGCGACTAACAATTCAAGACAAAAAATGTTGCATATAGAAAAATCCGTGTATTATTCGTTCATTCGTTCTTCAATATAAAACCAAAAATAAGAAAACGAAACAACAACTGTTTTCTTCATTATTTGTCTCCAAAACCAAAATGAAAAAACAGATAATGATTTGTTTTTTCAGTTTTCAATTTTGTGTTTAAATGAATAATGGAAAAAACGGATAATAGCCGTTTCCCGTTTACGTGACTTAAACTGCGATGCCGGACTGAACCAGGACTGAACCAGGAGTAAAACAGGACTAAACCAGGACTAAACCAAGACTAAACCATGTCTAACCAGGACTAAACCGTTTTCAGTCCTGGTCTGGTCCCTGGCCTCAGTCCCGGCCTCAGTTCCGGTTTCAGCTCTGGTCAGATCTCGGCCTAAGTCCTGGTCTCAGTCCCGGTCTGGTTCCAGTTTGGTCCCGGACCTGTTTTAGTCCTGGTTTAAGCCCTGGTCTCAGTCCGTACGTGGCGCAAAAGTCCGGCATCGCAGTTTAAGTCACGGAAACAGGAAACAATTACTTTAAACACAAAATCGAAAACTGAAAAAATCAATCGTTATCTGTTTTTTCTTTTGAGTTTTGGAGACAAATAATGAAGAAAATAGTTGTTTTTTCATTTTCTTATTTTTGGCTTTATATAGAAAAACGAATGAACGAATGATACATGGATTTAGAAACATATTTTATTGATCCAGAGCAAAATTATATAAAAAGAAACTGAAACCCATGAATTAATGAGTTTCAGCTCTTGTTAAATGGCTCCATTCTGAGGAGGGTGGAAAATTCAAAGATATAATATTTAGTTTTGAAATGTTAAACTTCTGAAACCCAAGATTACAGCCTTGGGTTTGACCTGCATTTTGCCAGAACGAGTCGTGTGTGAACAAAACCAGAACTGCTTTCACGCATTTTCGTGCAAGTTTTGAATGAACTGGCCCCACAGTAAGTCTCGGACCTGATCCAGATTTACTCCCCTGCGCGCGCTCTGAGATCCGAGGGCCAGCTCCTGCTCGTGGTGCCTAAAACGAGACTTAAAACCAGGAGAACAGGGCCTTATCTGTGGTCGGCCCCAGACTCTGGAACGTTCTGCCCCTCCACGTCCAAACAGCCCCCACAGTGGAGAGTTTTAAGTTTCATCTTAAAACCCACTTTTATTCTCTGGCTTTTAAGACCGCGTGAGTTGTGTGGTCCTCTGTGTCTTTTATTTATTCTATATTATTTGATTTGATTTATTTATTCTTACTATTTACTGCTATTTTATGATTTTATGTTTTTTGCTTTAATTTGCTTTTTATTGGTTTTATTGTTTTAGGACTGGTATTATTATTATTATTATTATTATTATTATTTTATTATTTATTATTATTTTATTTATTTTATTTTATTTTATTATTTATTATTATTATTATTATTATTATTATTATTATTATTATTATTATTATTATTATTATTATTATTATTATTTTTATTTTATTTTTTTATTATTATTATTATTATATTTTTTTTTATTATTTTATTTGTTGTTGTTGTTGTTGTTGTTTATTTATTTATTTATCATTGCATTTGTATAGCGCCTTTTCAAGATACCCGAAGCACTTTACAGTTCATTGTTTATTCACTCCATACTTGGTGGTGGTAAGTCAGTATTGTAGCCACAGCTGCCCTGCGACAGGCTGACAGAAGTGAGGCTGCCAATCTGCGCCATCGGCCCCTCCGACCACCACCATCACTCACGCACACACCACTTTCATACTAGGCAATGTGGGTGTAGGTGTCTTGCCTAAGGACACAGCAACAGTTTTTGCGACTGGTGCCCCACTGTGGCCCTGCTTAGCTTTGGTATGACCAAATTTGAGCAATTCACCTTTTTGTTGTCTTCATTTTATGATCTCTGTGCAGCACTTTAGAAACTGCTTTGTTTGTAAAATGTGCTATATAAATAAAGTGGATTTGGATTTTTTATTTATCAATTTCCAATAAATGATAAATCACAAATACGCTGAGAAAGTTTATGTGTGAATAAAGCCAGAAAACTTGACAAACAAGTGAATGCGGTTGTAAAAATCATTTTCAGCTTTTATCTAAAATTAAACCTATCTTTTAAATCATTTGAACAGATCACGCACGCTTTTATCTCCTCTCGTTTAAATTACTGTAATGCATTTTTCTCTGGCATCAGCCACCGCGCACTTTCCCGCTTACAGTTGGTCCAAAATTCTGCAGCGCGACTTTTAACTGGAACCAAAAAACGTGAGCCCATTGCCCCGATTTTAGCGTCATTGCATTTGCTTCTAGTTCATTTTAAAGTTGATTTTAAGATGTTATTGATTGTTTTTAAAGAGTTGACTGGACTGGCCCCACAGTAAGTCTCGGACCTCATCAAAATTTAGACCCCTGCTCGCGCTCTGAGGTCCTAGAGCCAGACCAAACTTAGAACCAGGGGGGACAGGGGGACAATTTTTCAATGTAAAATCAATAGACGCATCAAGAATCTCAGACTTCTGGTCATTGTGCAGTGCATACTGGGAAGGATTTTCCAAAAAAGTGAGCATCAAACCGCCATGTTTGTTTTCCCAGTGGGATGCGTCTATTGTCAAAGCCGATCTTTTCAAGTCTTTTGAAACATATCGCTTTAGTTTCTGGTTCTGATATTGTCATATTTTCGTTTTGGGATTCGGACATTGTAATTGTGTGGTTGTTGGATCCTAACAGCGGAAACCGGCTTGAGAAATTAGTTTGCGGACTCCATAAATGCAAAAGGGCGCTCTACATACAAAATGTTCGCTGCAAACACGGGATGATTTAGGCAGTCAAAGGTTTCATTTTTCGTCCTTCCTGTTGATCAATACTGCCCATCGCCTTCACCTTTCACAATTTTTCAATTCCGTTGGGAAGGGAAACAGTTTGAACAGAGGTTTGCCATCACACAGATCTGATTCCCTTTTGCATTTATGGAGTTCGCAAACAAATTTCTTGAGCCGTTTTCCGTTGTTAGGACATCCAACAACCACATAATTACAATGTCCGAATCCCAAAACTAAAATATGACAATATCAGAACCAGAAACAAAAGCGATATGTTTCAAAAGACTTGAAAAGATGGGCTTTGTCAACAGACGCATCCCACTGGGAAAACAAACATGGCGGTTTGATGCTGACTTTTTCGGAAAATCCTTCCCAGTTTGCATTGCGCGATGATCGGAAGTCCGAGATTCTTGATGCGTCTATTGGAAACAGAGTCAATGGAGCCGCAAGTGCCCCCATGTTCTCTTCCTATTTGGAACGTGGCGGGTAGCGGGTTAACCATGTCCATTTATATAAACAGTCTTTGTTTTCTCGCCAATTTACTGGAAGCAATGTGTGAATGGGGCTTTACATTACAGTGATGATTTGTCTAAGTGTGTCTGTGTGTGTGTTGGAATGAGCAGAGTGCAGCCAGTATCTCACCCCTCTGACTCCATGTCCAGGGCAGCGTTGAGTTCAGTCAGGAGCAGACCGGTCAGATAGTGCTGCTGTTTAAACTCATGAGAGAGTTCAAACAGAGCCAAGAACCTCTGCTGCTCCTGGAAACTGCCAGAACTCTGAAATACAAAGAAGGAATTATTTAAAAGACTGATTCAAGAAAAACAAAGTATCAAAGAAACACGCAGCAAGACATAATATTTCAGCAACATTAAGCGTAAACATTTCCTCTTTGAAATCATCAAATCGTTTGTCAAATCAACATCTTGTAAGTTTGGGAAAATAAAAAGAAAACACCACCACACAGCGCTGTAGTGGCTCACTTCAATGAAACAGCAATACTGAAAAATCTGAAGAAACATGGGATTTTACATTATATATTTATTTATGTATGCTATAAATGATCATATGTACAGTATATTTAATGCTTTTGTTATCGGGTTGTTGCGATGATAGCAAAGGTGAATGTCTTTTTTTGTGATATTTGCATTTTATCAGGCCTGTTGATAGAAATTTGGGGACCCGGGGCAAGAAGACTCACTCTAATATTAACAAGGGATGTAACAATAACTGAAATATTGTGATATCGTATCGTCAAAGTTCTCACAATAATATCGTGGACCATCACAATATATCGAATTACAAGTTTCTTTGCTTAAATTAAGAGTTATGGTGCAGCAAAAACTAAAAGAAGACAGAGGGAACTACATAGACCATGATCCTTTGCTCCATTTCAGTGCAGACTACATGAAGAAATAACAGTTCTAAGCACTTTTAAGTTTAGTTCTTTGGATTAAGCCTTGTCAAGGTATTTTAAGAGGAAAAAGTAGCATATTAGTGTCCACAAAATATTGCAATAAATATCATACTGTGAGATGTATATTGTGAAAACTGAGAAATTTGGATATTGTTACATCCCTAATCGTGAGCCTCCCCATTATATCGTGAGCTTTCCCACGATATCCCAATAAATATTTTATCGTTAAACTTGGATATCATTACACCCCTAACATTAATTAATATAAATGGATTAATATTTGACTCCCCTGTTTGCTATTGAAAGCTACTATTTGCTGTAAGTTTATTAGATTTTTTTCACCTGTACCTGTGGCAGATGTAAAATAACATGTAACTGAGTCCAAGCAGTTTCCGCTGTGGATCAATAAAGTGTGCGTGAGTCTAACCAGTTCAGAAGCTGATAAACAGTTATTAAGGGGAAAAAAAGTAAAGAGTTATAATTAACCTCATTTCTATAATAAAAATACACAAAATCAATGATGTTATTATCACTGTTTTGGGTTGTCGGTATGAAGAAATACATGTTAACATAATTCACTGCATCAAACTCTGAGAAAACTTTGCAGACGATAAGTGATACAGAAATTGCTCCGACATTTGGAAACCATCTTGGAAATTATTATTGAGTGACATTTGTCTTTTTTTAAATGTCCAAAACAGACTTCCTCATAATCAAGCTTGAATGAACGTATTTGTCATATCAGATTGATATGTTCTGGCCTCAAACAGACTAAACCAGTGGTCTCCAACATTTTTCCTCTGGTGAGCTACCTTTACAAGATGACAACGCCAGAGAGCTACTCATTTTAGCAGTCGCAAGAAATTGAGAAAGTGGAAGGGCTATAGCAAGCCTTAGATGGGGTATGGTTAGATGTCTAGTAAAGATAAACCATTATCAATTCATTACTGCACAACTTTGGCATCACAATGACATATTTACAATGATAATCAGCTTTTAGTGATTAAGCACAATACATAATTTAGAAATCCTTTGGCGAGCTACTTGTAAAGGGGCTGGAGAACTATTGATAACTCCCGAGCTACAGGTTGGACACCCCTGGGCTAAACTATTATATAATCAGCCCCATTTCTATAATCTATCTATTAATGCAAGGAGCGTCTGTCTGTGTCTCCTCCTGTTTGTTTGTCTGTTCCACGTAAAACTCTCGAACCACTCATATATGGGAAATATAAAAAAAAAACATCCATTTAAAGGAACTGTAGCCAGCGTTCGTTTTTTAAAAAGGTACGACAGTGGTCCCTCGTTTATCGCGGGGGTTACGTTCTAAAAATAACCCGCAATAGATGAAATCCGCAAAGTAGTCAGTTTTATATTTTACAATTATTATATCTGTTTTAAGGCTGTAAACCCCCTCACCACACACTTTATACACTTTTCTCAGACAGGACAGTTACAGCCCTTTTTGCATCCTTCTTAAAACTTATAGCTGCTGTCGTCCTCATGTTCTTTTCCTCCTTCTTTATGTAACGAACCGAAGATTAATTTATTCTGTAATGGAGTCCCACAGCGCAGAGTCCTGCACGGGCAGTACAGCACCACACCTGCCCGTCAACCCGAGATTATATCAAACTTTTGCTCTGCATACGCCATGGACTGAACCAAGACTAAACCAGGACTAACCCAGGACTAACCAGGACTAACCTAGGATTGATTGCAGGACTGAAGAGGAGGACTAAACCAAGACTGAATTAGGACTAAAACAGGACTAAAACAGGACTAAAACAGGACTAAACCAGGACTAAACCGGAACTGAAACAGGACTAAACCGGAACTGAAACAGGACTAAACCGGAACTGAAACAGGACTCACTGTCGGGACGGGCTCGGAGGTGACTGCAGGAGAAAGGACCGGTGCAGAGCTCCAGACCTCACGGAGGTAAGCGCGACACGCTTACCACACGCTTTGCAGACACCCTGCTTCAGTGTTCTCTCTCTTAAGTCCAAGATTAGTCCTGGTTTAGTCCTGACCCACCCGTGTGTTATTACTACCCGCCCGTAATACGGAATACACGTTCATACGCTGTGAAAATGAAAAAAGCATGCAAAATTGCACTAAAACAAATCTGCGAAACAGCGAGACCGCGTAAGGTGAACTGTGATATAGCGAGGGACGACTGTACAATCACAACTGAACCTGGGTTGTCAGTGCCTTAACCTGATACACAGAGGAAAAACTTCGCACAGATAAGTGATACAGAAATTGCTCCAACATTTGAAAACCATCTTGGATATTTTGGTGGTGCAGAGGACTGACTGAGTGACTTTTGTTTGTTTTAAATGTTCTATACGGACCCCCTCAAGTCTGAAATGAAGCTTACATCTTACAAACTTACAAATAGTTTCTTTAAAAGTACGTTTATCATAATTCACTCCACTATTCACTCTACTATAAAGAAAACTGTCTGAAATGAAGGTTTAATTTATGTGTTTATCGTGTGTAATTAATACTTTTTGGGTCAAACATACAGTTACTAATGAAGAAATGCAAACTATTATAATCAACCCAATTTCTATAAACTAAAAAAAACTAAAAATAGCCAAAAACATACTAGTATCACAACTGAAACTGGGTCAGCGCCTTAGACTGATAGACAGACAGACAGATAGACGGATAGGTGATGTTTATGGAATTTAAAATCAAAATCTTACCTATAGTTCCTTTAAAAATACGTAGAAATACATGTTATCATAACGAGAAAACTTGGCACAGGGAGATAAGTGATACAGAAATTGCTCCGACATTTGAAAACCATCTCGGACATTACGGTGGCGCGGAGAGTGAGTGAAAGGACGGGTGATCATTGTGAGTGGCGTGTTGACAGACCTGAGAGGAGATGGACGGACAGGGGGAGGCGGGAGCTGAGGCCGGGCTGCTGAAGAAAAGGCTCAGGTTCAGGTAGTGCTCGTGACTGCACAAGATCCTCAGGAACTCCAGACGCATGCTGATCAGGGTGGGCATGGACACGCTCTTGGACGTCATCTACAAGGAAAGATCACGTAGAGAATATATTTAGAAAGGGAAATGAATCTAAGAAGAAGATGTGAACCTAATAGTGAATGAAAGTGATTAAGGTGAAAAGTATTGTCATTAGAATTAAGATATGTTCAAATGCTAATCAGGTGCTTAACTATGCTGAAAGAGAGACGGCCAAGAGACATCAGGGGCATAATAATCACCCATAATGATGTTAACTAGTAAAAAAGACCAGGGTAAATGAACTCTGAATCTCCTCCCTTTGTTCAAAAGTTCAAAGTTAGATTTATTGTCAATTTCTTCACATGTACTAGACATATAAAGGAACTGAAATTGCGTTTCTCTCTAACCCAGGCATGTCCAAACTATGGCCTGTGAGCCAAATGCGGCCCTCAGACAAATTTTTCTTGGCCCTCAGGCTTCTAGGTGAACTGGCCCAAATTATCTTGGATCAATAAAAAAATTAACTTTTTACTTCAAGTTTTTTGAAAATCTACCTTGATAAAGTGAATATTTAATGTGTGTGTGTGGTTTTAAGGATCTTGGCAAGAATAAAGACTGATAGGTCATTCTAACGTGTTAAACATGCACATACCGTATTTTCCGGGCTATTAGGCGCTCTGGATTATAAAACGCACTGCCATAGAATGGTCTATATTCAAACTTTTTTCAAAAATAAACCACAAAGGACTTTAAATGAAACACAACAGTTCAGAGGGTCACTTGGACTTTGTTTGGCGCGTTCGCGGTGACTCTGGGCTTTGTTCAGTTGTGGCGTGTAGGGAGGTGCTGTCTGGGACCAACGGATTGTCGGCGTGTTCGCAGTGACTCAGTTGTTCAGTTTTGTCTAGAAGTGGCACACTGCACTCGCTTTTTCGGTTCTTTCCTCCGTTCCGTTCCTCGTCTGCGTGGAGTGATGAGTGTGGCTTCGGGTGTTTTTCGCTGTAGTTTACTGAAGTCGTGCTGAGACACCCGACTGGATTCGTGTATAGGGCGCTCTGGATTGTGGGGCGCGCAGACGTTTTTTGATGAGGTTGGAGGCTTATGAGCGCGCCTAATAACCCGCAAAATACGGTATTTAAATTATTCACTGTATTGAGCACCAGTCTGCGGCTCTCGATCAGCCCTCTCCTTCATCTTTGTTTAGATATGTAGCCCAAGATGAAAAAAGTTTGGACACTCCTGCTCTAACCCATGCAGAATAAATACATTTGGGACTGAACTTTAAAAAACTATACTTTATTATGTCAAAAAATATATGTATTCTTAGTTGACATTACAGTAGACACAATATTTATGTTTTGTTTCTGTTCTGTTTTTTTTTTTTTATCGCCATTTTCCCCCCACCCTGATGCTAAAACGTTGTAAAACATCGTAAAGAGATTCAACCAAATATCCCTTTGGCTGTGGACTTCAGAGTAGTTTATATCCTAGTGTCTCAAGTCAGTACCATTAAATTGAAAATGGCTCCTGGAACGTTTTGATTGCAGAAACAGTGCCCAGAAGACCACTGCATTGATCTGCTTAAAATCAAGATTCAAATCGAGATTCAAAACACACCCCTGGTAATGATAACAACACATTGGAATTGTTTAGCGTCTCTCAAGACTCTCAAAGTGCTTCACAGAGCATCAGTCTTTCACTCGACACTCGGTGGTGGTGAAACTATTGTCACCACAGCTGCCCTGGGACAGACTGACAGAAGCAAGGCTGCCAATCTGTGAAATTGGCCCTCTCCGACCACTTAGACACTATATTCATATTAGTTTTTTTTTTTGGTGTTACCCTGATTACAGTATTAATGGAAACTAAAATGTTAAGCTGTGATATTTAGTTTTATTGCAGGCAATGTTATAGTATCTTGTATATGTGGTAAACTGTGACTATTTAAATTTTGATTAAACTATGACACAGGTTTTGTTCCTGTGATTTATAATCAGCTGAGACTTATATATTAAAATTTTCATACTGACAGCCTCAAGAGGGCGTTTTATGCTTGTGTGTCAGTATCTGCTCCTCCTATTACTCCTGCACCACTGTCTCTTCGCTCTACTGCGCATGTCTCCTGCAGAAAAAGCCACTGTCCTGCTGCAAGTAGTGAAATATTCAGCCAAAAACAGTAATCGAGCAGCAGAAAAAAAGTCTGAAGTGAGCGAGAAACTTGTGAGGGACTGGCGGGATGTGGGGATGGAGAACACAGCTTCACGGGAACCAGGAGAGTGAGCCATGCAACTTTCCTGGAAGTCAATGGATGGATCGACAAAGCACAGACTTCAGTGACACTGAACCCATCCTGTCGGGATCCGGAGCGGCTGGAATAATTCTAACTGGAACTGATGCTGAGTGTGATGCTATGCAGAAGAGGAAGCGGGGCTCCATTTACCCCCAGAGGAGGCGGAGTTGCTCAGAAGTGACACCGAGGATGAAGGATTGAATGGAGAGTTTGGTAAACTTGTTCTTTTCTGACGTCTATGTTATAGTTATCTGAAGAACTGTTCATATGTTACATTAACAGTGTTGTTTTCTATTCTGTTGTTATTACTGTAACTTGCCTTTCAAGATGAAATGTCGGTTCCTGGTCACTGATTTTATAAAATAAATTCCCCCAAAAAGTGCGACTTATAATCTGGTGCAATTTATATATGTTTTTTTCTTTCTTCTTTGGCTGGTGTGGTACTTTAATGGTGTAATACATGGCCTTAGACAAAAAAGCATTAAAAGCACACAAACTAATAACAAAGATGTAATTAAGCAGTTATTATTATACATTTTACTATTGACTGGCTATTAGTATGTGGTCCCTAAACTTGAGTGTTACCTTTATTTTATGAATCTACAAACCAAAATGCTAAATCAAATGATGAAATCTTATACCTGGTTGCAGTAGTTTTTCACCAGCAGAAACACAAATCCCCGGTCCATGAGAGACAGCAGGTCGTACAGGAAGAAGGCCAGGCTGATGTTGACTTTCTCCGCTTGTTCCACCTCCTGAAACAACAGCAATCAACAAACACCAATCAGCAGAACACTCTGATTGGATCTGGCTGCGCGTGAGCCTGTGCAAGCTGAGTTTTTGATACCACATAGGCAAATATAATTAGCACAGTAAGCTCCCTATTGTTTGGAGGACATAGACAACATGTACACCTGCTCAAGGGAACCAAAGCTCCTCTGGTAAAGCTGTTGACAAACCTAATATTCGGTAATTGCGATTATCTTATCTGAGTTTATTTTTATTTACCTTCTGCTGTTTGACCAGAATGGTGCAAATTTCCGCAGTAACCACGGAGACGATGGTGGTGATGTCATCTTTGAAGCGGTCGGAAAAGCGGCTTCTCCGAGGGACGTTTTGTTTGTCCAGTTGGGAGACATGCTGAGCCATGCTTTTCACCTGTCAACCAGACCAGCAAGTCATTTTCACATTTTAAATATAATGGGTGGATTTGAACGCTAAAAGAGGTCACAATCAAGATATGAACTAATATTAAAGGGCCCACATTATGCCATTTATTTGATTTATGTTATAATGTTGTTTCCTCGTCACAAACAGACCTGGAGTTGTGTTTCGTTTTATGTTTAACACAGGAACAATCTTTCTATTTTATTTTGTCTTATACATTTACATTTATATAATTATGTCTTATTTGATACTTGTCTCTTGCTGCCGTTTTTGCTACTTATTAAGAATTTATTATTACCATTTATATTTTCGCTCTCTTATTATTATTTTATATTGTGAGCTACTGTGTCCAAATAATTTCACTTGTGGATCAATAAAGTTTGTCTAAGTCTAAGTTTAAGAAATTGATCCACTGCGTTTTTTATACTCCATACACCTTCACTAGAATAATTTGGATCATTTCAGCCCTGGAATTGCACAACTCTACTAAACAAAAGGCAAAAGGTAGCTGTTAACTTGAAAACTGCCGCTTCATGACATCACAAGGTGGAACAGAGCATTTTGAGCTTTGGAAATGTAGACAGACTAATCATAATAGGAGGGCAGTAGCTCATTTGGTCGAGCGTTCGTCCACTGAGCCGAAGGTTAGCATAAAAAACATCACTGGTTGAGCGGTCAGATCCACTGAATTCGCAGTATTAGGATTCGTTCGCCTGACGGTGGGTGGGTACTTCTTAAAATTTTACCAATCGCTGTAATTTGGACGTGACGTATATAATGCTCTAAATCCCATAGTAAGAAGGGCAATAACGTATTTTCCTTTGATAAAATTCACCAAACATTCTTTTTGTTCTGGCTTTAAATCTCAGGAATCGTTGCCAACACAGAATGTCTGTCTTCATCTACATCCATCTCGACCGCTTTGTTTACTGTTGTGCTGTTCCACAAAAGGGACTCAGACAGGTGCTTGAGTTTGACGTCATGGCTTCACAGCTCTTCGCTGATTGGCCAGTGTGCGGTCTACGACTTCCAGGGTTCTTGCAAACAGTCTAGTGTATTCTGATTCCTGACCTAGTCGCTGAAGAGAAATTAAATTGAGTGTCTGTGTACACTGGTGTATGAATGTATGTGTGAATGGGTGAGTGGTTCCTTGTTGTACAGCGCTTTGAGAGCCTTGAAGGTGGAAAAGTGCTTTATAAAAATGTGACCATTTACCATTTTACCGTAAAGGGTTACTCAAACATATGTGAATGAAACAAAACACAACTGTGGGTATGTTTTGGAGGAGGCAACAATATTATAACATGGCTTAAAGCTCACAAGAGTCAGGTTTACTATGTACATTCCTCCTCAACATAATGTGGGTCAAATAATTATATGTATGTTGACCCCCTCTAACCAGGTTTACTTCGGATAACTCTAACTCTGACAGACATGTAGTTGCAGTTATTGTACTGTGATTTAAAAAAATACACATACTTTAATTAGATTCAAGTATCCTTCATGCAGGTATCAGTGTATTTGGTTTATCTAAAATACAAACCAGAAGCTCAAAGAAGAACCATGCATATTTGTAGGAGTTCTCTCTGCAGACGCCGGTGCTGACGACCATCTGTAAGGCCAGCTCCTCGTGGAACAGCTACAGGAGACACACGGGTTTATTCACTTATGAAATCACATTACATCATTAGAAAGTTATAATATATCTGAAGCCAGTCTGAAGGAGAGCTGATAGTGTATGGTTGAAAAATTTCACACACTGGAAATATCTGTGTTGTACTGCCCTCTGGTGGACACCGGTGGGAAGTGTTTCGTGTCCTGCGATAACCTGCTTTAAATAGTTTTATTGATTTCAGGCAGTTTATTTAAAGTCTAACCTTTGTCTGTAAATACATTTCCCACCATCTTATATTCTATATGCTTAGACTGTTAGGCAAAATACATGTTAAACTTCAGCCTTAAGCCCTTCGTTCTCTTTTGAGTTAATTTTGTGTTATTCATGAAGCACTGTAATTAATGATTATGCCAATTGACCAAAGAAAATACACCAATTAGATCTACAAAATATTTAAAGAGAGATGTATGTGGTTATTTGAAACTATTCAATGAAAACTAAATAAGATGTCTTTATTTTTATTTAGTTTAGTTGGTTTGTTTTACTTAAATAAAATATAGAACGCAGAACTTGTTTTTTTCAAGAGAATTAATAACTGGTGAAACATTCAATAAGAGGAAAAACAGAATATATTATAAGGCTCTTGTCAAAACCTTTTGCTGATGTTATATTTTTAAACTCGTATATTGTATTGTGCAGTGGTTCGTACCTTCCTGTTGGACGGCCTGGTGCTCCCTGCAGCGTTCTGGTTGTTCCCCTCGACGTAGGTCGACATGCGGCTGCCGGCGATGTTGTGACCCTGCACACACACACATGTTGGTTTTCTGTGCTTCTTGGGAACATTACATTGACATTCACTTCCTGGAGACCAATTCTAACTTTGGTCACTACTTGCCAAAGCTTAACCCATCTGTGTAATCCCTCAATCGTCCATAGGTTCCAAATGAAAATTCTGTCAACTGAACAAACATTTTAGAGTGAAGATGCTTTGTCAGTCATCCTAACAGCTTCTTCAGCTCTGGTCCAGTGCTGATGGGACACAAGTTAATAATTTGTTTATAATTATACTGTATACATGTGTGGTAGTTAGTTACTCAGCTCCTCCATTCAGACAGATGGAAGTGTCCATAGACTGTATAAAAACGTGGACTAAACGAGTGTGACGTCATTCATAGCGTTCGGCGTAGCTCAAGTGAAGCAAGTTTGGAGAAGGGCTCTATATTATGCATAGGATTTTTATGATGGACACAATAGTGAAAAAAAAACAAAACACCAGAATCACGTAGAATGGGTTAATATGAACATTTTAAGATCAAAATGACAAAGCCCACAGCAGTTGATAGATAGAACAGATAGAGGGGCCATAATACTCCAATGTAAGTCAAGAGTCAGAGCCAAGGTCATGCGAACTTTCAGTTTGGAACGTGGCAGCCAGTGCGTTAGTTATGTCCATTTATATATACAGTCTATGGCAGTGTCCAACCAGTAACCCGACCGGAACTGAAGAAGCCACGTGGATGAATGGTCAAAATGTCTTCACTTTTGTCCGGTTGACAGAATAAAAGTTTCATTGCTACTTAACCTAAACAGTAATTTATTTGTTGTTGATGTAATATTTAACATATAATTATGTCATGAGGACTATGAGGACTGTGAGGATTTTGATTTGAGTGTGTGTGTACTGATTTGGGTCCCCAGAATGTGATAATACCCATCCACACACACGCATATCTCCGTCACATTAAAGGAGATGGATGGATTCATTAGAGCAGCTGTCGAGCGGCCTATTACATTACCTAATGTACTGTGAGGCTGCTGAGTGCACCAGTAAGCAGGCGAGGAATTTACTAGAGCCTGTTTGTGTATATGATAAACTATTTATACAATATTTGAGTAGACCAGAGGATGGTTAGAGATAGTAGCTGGGAAAATAGCGGGAAAAAACGTATGTGTAATGAGGATACGCCTTTTTGGTTTATTCTGTTTTGGGGTGTATTCATATCATATCTGTTTATCATTTAAATCTGCAATTAACAATGTTTTTGCTGTCAAGAAGTCAGCGATTATTTTTTATTTAGTGTACTAATTTTACATTGGTAAAGAACATTTATTTTTATCTAAATGAAAGAAATTTGTCTCCAGGAGATAGTTACTGCTTCAGCAAAATGATTTCAGACTTAAGGCCAACGCACGTCTTTTGGCACAGGTCCAACCCACACATCAACACAAACTGAACACGGTCTTGAAAAGGCTTTAACACAACTCTTGTATGTCATAAATTAAAGTTTTATCTGCAGATTAGTTATTAAATGAGAGACACAGAGCAAGGCTGTGAGGGGAGAGGAAAGGCGGTGCTTTGAGCAGGTAATAGTTGCAGTGACAAGAGACAAGAGTTTCCCTGCACGGAGAGAAACGGGAGGGGAGGAGGTGCTGAACTGCTAAGTTGAATACCAGGCATGTGTGTACTCAGTGCATAAGTGCAAAATCCATGTGCTTCAAGCCATTTTACAACTCAACAAACCCTAGTCAAGCCACGGGGTCTATCGCCCAGTGTGTGCATGTGCATAGAACATAACATGATTAAACATAAAATATGTGCGTTGGCTTTTATTCATCTTGGATTCATTTATTTTTTCATTTTTTTATTACTGGTCCAAAAAATCTCAGAGCAAGGTCAACTCTCCAAAGATCTGACTGAGATTGCCTGCTGGCTTTTAAAAAAAAATAATGCTATACTGTGGAACATTCCAGCCAAAGCCATAACAACTCCATGGAGAAGCTGAATGATCCTACCAGAAAAGTTCAATAGGGAGTTTTTAATGTAATCTCATATCTGTTTACCTTGGCGAGTATATTCTGCACTTCATTGTCCTCTGCAGAGCTGTGAGGACCCGGGATGTCGGGGTTACTGCTGCTGCGGACCCTGGACTGCAGAAGCATATTCCCGATGGCAGAAGCTGTGACTCTGCTCATAGTGCTGAAGGGAAACGGCTCTATGGACGCCGTGATGGTTCCTGGACCTGGAGACATTTATAAACAGGAGAAACAGATTTTTTTCCTCATGTAGTTATTAGATTTTTGTAGTGTTCACACATTTCTGCTTCAAAACTTGCTTGTAAACGTTCTTACCTGAGATGTGTATGTCTTTTGGGGGGTCGGGCAGACAGAAGACCCAGTACAGGTATGTGGCTAAGAGGCAGTTTCGTCCCTGCTGGTCTCGGATCAGCTCCTGACTGTTGTGAAGACTGTTGACGATGGACACCACTGATTCAAATGCGATCTGGGCAAGGTTCGCTGTGAGACAAAAACAGACGCTCAATGTATGTTGTGTCTGAAAGACCAGACTAAAGCATTGACATATAATGGACGAAATGAACTGCTGCTTAGTATTCACAATATTACAAGAGAATTACAATTCATTTATGTCAAACATGAAGGATAAGATACTTTTTAGAGAGTTATAATTCAGTCACACAGAATGAAGCTGTCATGTAGGTACACTTTATATCATTAGACTTCTATCCTGCTTGGGTAACTGGTCGGGAGCAGAGGGTGACTACAATGCAATGCCCAAGGATCCAGGACTACTTAGGAAGAGGATCAGGTTGTGTTTTAGGTTGATGGGGGCATTACTTGTTCAAGAATGTTTGGAAAACTATTAGAGATGGTGCCCTGAGTTTATAAAGTAAATAATGGTATAGTCATGTAAACACGGCTCTATTTTTAGTCTGTGTTCACACTTTCATACTAGGTAAAGTTGCCTAAGGACACAACAGTTTTTACCACTGTTGTACCACTGTGGCACCTGGAATTCCCAGCAGTCTCCCATCTAAGTACTATCCAGGCCCAGCCCTGCTTAGCTTCTGAGATCCAGGTCTCTCTTGAAAAAGAGATTCTGAATCTCAATGGTAACTTAAAACTTAATCCAGGCTTTCACAAGGAGGTTTGCCCAAGAAACCTTAGGCCATAGTTTAGTTCTCGTTTAATGTAGGTTAAGTTCAGCTTTAGGTTAGTCACAATTGTGATGTGATGTGTGACTCAGCCTTCATCATACTGTATATATAGAATATATCATAATATATAATGTTTTATTTGCAAGTAAGCAAAGGGCAGTGGGCAGAGATAGGGGGTAGGAGAAAACCTAATTTCTCTGAGCAGTTAAGCCTCAAACGCAGGACAATATAGGATTACTCAAACATGCAAGGAGTAAACTTATGATGAGGGAACACCATTATAACATTAAAATCTGATAAAAGCCAATAATATAATCCATCCCCTTTAAGTTGCAGCCCTGACGTGGTTGCCTTCTCACCTGTCTGCCCAGCGATGACCATGGGCTGCATGATGAGAGTGAAGAGTTTGTCCAGGACCAGGTGGAGGAAGCTGACCAGAGGCTCCAGGCTGGAGGAGGACAGGGAGATGATGCTGAGTTTGAGCTCGTGCTCCAGTTTGTTTTCTGGGATCTTCTCATCTCGGACCCTCAGAGGGAACGTGGCCCCACCCTCCAGAGCGTGACACAGCGTGAAGAACCGCTCCAAGTGGTTATCCTGGAAAAGGTAATAAGACGTATTAAAAGATAGGTCCTGAACTATTTTAGTTGATTTGCAGTCATACCTGAGTGTGCACAGACGACACAGCCTGGATCTCAAGATTAAAAAGTCCTTTATGACTTTCCATCCATTTGACTGGGGGAACCTGAGGAGGGAGTTTCTGCAAAATGAGAAAAAATAAATATTATTATGTATTTATGTCTCCACTTAAACATTTAATTTGGTTTATGTTAAGAAATACATCAATAATACCACATTTTCAATCCTTCCCCACACTTGTAAGCTTCTTTATGGACATATAAATGGATAATAATTAGAGCCCGACCGATATGGATTTTGTTGTGGCCGATATGAAACCGATATAATGGGAGTTGGAGCTGCCGATAGCCGATATAATCACCGATATATTTAGTGATGTAAAAATTCACTGTAAATCTTGACTTGTTTAAAAAACTTAGGTTTGGCTCTAGTGGATTCTAAATTGGGTTTATTTAGGCAACATTTATTGTTGTTCTGCCTCTTTACATCATATTTACAGACAGTAGATTGGCCTAATGGCATTTTTGCATCACATTCTAGCTACTAGTGATGGGTATTCCGTTTTTTTTGGGAAAACCGGCTCTTTTGGCTCGGCTCACTAAAGCAGCTGGCTCTTTCGGCTCCCAAGCGACTCTTGAGATTGTTTTGTTGCAAGCAGGACTAAACCAAAACTGAACCAGGACTGAAAAAGGACTAAACCAGGACTAAAACAGATTTAAACCATGTGTGAAACAGGACTAAACCAGAACTTAACCAGGTCTGAGTGTCGGGACTCGGTTTCTATCTCTCTCCTGCACTCGAGCCCAAGATTAGTCCTGGTTTATTCATTTTATGCTGAACTGCAGCCAAATATTTTTTTTTAAATCCTGTGCACACGCATATTTCTGAAAGTTTCGTTTTCAGCCGCTGCTGCTGTCAAACTACGGGTCTACACGTGGCTTGAAGAGAAAAAGTGAGAAAAAGAGAAAACACGGCTCCCAATAAGAAACATGCTCCCGTTGTTCGCTTCAAAGAGCCGGTTCGATCGCGACCGACCCATAACTCCTAGCTAGTAAAGAAACTACCGCTATTAGCCTTTAGCCGTGCGCACAGCGGTAATTAATTATATGCATAAATGTGGATCATTCACACGTCTATTCACAGCTCATTTACATATCAATGCAGGTCCAGTAACAAATGTACGGACAATATAATCACTTTACAATAGACCAATAGAAAACAGCCTGTTTATGTGCGGGAGCTACAGCAGCTAATCGCTAACAAAACCTAAACTAGCTTCAAAGTCGATGTATTTCCAACACTCACATCACAAGTCTGCACTAATAAATGTCCTTTTAATCCAGACTCAAACCGATTGTCGTAAAAAGAATATAATCTCAGTGTTGCGCACCGCTGCGGGTGTAAACAAACACACGTGAGTGAAGTGACGTCACTCTGGGGGGGTGTGTTCAGGGACAGTACGGACACAGACACAGACAAATTACACCGCAGATAAATACTGATGCGGAGTCACATATGAGGACATTTATCTGTCTGTAAATTGGATTAAGTGAACAGAATGTAGAGAGCCTAAGCTTTATAACGAGGTATAACATGCACACGTGAAATATCGGCCCATATCAGCAAGCATATCGGCCGATAACCGATATGTCTCCAGGTGCCCATATTGGCCGATAATATCGGCCCGCCGATATATCGGTCGGGGCTCTAATAATAATAAATAAAAACATAAACAGACATAAGTAACCCTCTAGCCATTGTGTTTCAAATAGGAAATGAGCATGGGGGTGCTTCCAGCTCCACTGACTCTAGCTCCAATTCATTTTGTATTGAAACACTGTCACCCCTCTCTGTAACTGCTTTTATGACACTCATCATTTTGGTCTTAAAATGTTCACATTAACCCACTCGACATGATCCTAGTGTTTTTATTTTGCTATTTTGTTCGTAAAATGAATTTCTATGCTTAATAAGCAGCTTGGCTCCATATTCACACTATAGGTCCCTTAGTCCACTTCTTTATACTGGTATAGGCTGGCTGAACCAAGCACACATTATTTCTATAAATGTTTGTGTTTTGGCCATAGACACAGTAATTATAAAATGGTTGGATATGCCCTACATACAGTTGGCTCTGTGAGTGTGTGCTTGTACATGTGTGTGTGTGTGTGTGCTTGTACGTGTGTGTGTGTGTGTGTACCTCTGGTGGGTGAAGAGAGTAGTTTATTGGGAGTCGATCCAAAACAATGGGCAAACAAAACTGACCCGCCTGCAGCCGATCGCTATGCAACATGGGAAGCCACTGAAATGCATAAAAAAAAACATTTCATTTCTCATTTCAAAATACAAAATACATATTAATATTATACTGTATTGCATTGCACTGCTTTATGGAAGTATTTAAAAGTATTTAAAGTTCCTATATTACACAAAAATTTACTCTTGTGTGAAAATGTTGTTACCTCATCAAAAACATTCCTGGAGTTGTGTTTTGTTTCACATGTTTGAGTAACCCTGCATTATTAAACTGTCTATATCTCCATAACTCAAAATGCTCCTTTCCACCTTGTGTTGTCATGAAGCGGTAGTTTTCAACAGCTACTTTTTACCTTTTGTTCAGTAGAGATTGGCATTTCTAGTGCTGAAATCATTCTAATGATTCTAGTGAAGGTGTATGGAGTTTAAAAACATTGTGGAACTCTTCCTGTATTACCACAAGACATCAAAAGGTGGAAAAGTATTTTCTCCCCCTGAATGTGCAAGGCTTGTGAGTTAAACATGTGTGAATGGAACAAAACCCAACTCCAGGTCTGTTTTTAACGGGAAACAACATTATAACATCGATCAGAAAATAGAGTAATGCAAGTCCTTTAAAATAGAGTAGTAGAAGTCGTACGGAGTATCCGATGAGAGTCTCACAGCTCCCGCTCTGGTTCTGCTTCTGTTGGCAGCTGATGTGGTAGAAAGTGAACAGCAGGTGATGTCTCTCTGTGAGGCGAGCGGGCAACGCTATTTTTACCTCCTCATAGAAGTCTGGGGACCTGAGCAAAAATACAGAACACAGTATTTTAAGACAAAAAGAATAACATGGAATTTTAAAGATCCTATATTACACAAAACTGACTCTTGCCATGTTAAAATGTGAAAACCTGAAGTTGTGTTTTGTTTCATTCACACACATTTGATCAACTCATTATTATTAGTGTGTCTACATCTCTAAAACTGCTTTGTTCCACCTTGTGATGTCATGAAGTGGTACGTTTTAAGGTTAACAGCGACCTGTGCTATGTTTTGTTCAGAAGAAATTTGCAATTCCAGAGCTGAAATGATCTAAATGAAACAAGTGACGGTGTATGGAGTTTAAAAACACAGTGGAGCACTTCCTGTATTAGCACATGACATCACAAGGTGGAACAGAGTGTTTTCTGTTTGAGAGAAGAACTAATATGCCTAAATATGGAGGATTTATGTGTTAAATGTGTGTGAATGAAACAAAACACAACTCGACAACACAAATAAGTTCACTTGCCTAGTTGGACTTGAGCCCAGTTTAGCCCTGATGTAGACTTGGTTTGGTCCTGCTCTAGTCCTGGGTTAGTCCAGGTCTAGTCCTAGTCCAATATTGGTTAAGTTCCTGTTTGGTTCCAATTTTGCTGTGTAGTATGCAAGTGTGAATGCAGCAAAAAATATAAGATACTTATTTATATTTTTGCTTTTTGTTATTATAATCTCACATGACGGCCTATACATAAGTTTATACATAACTATTACTGTTTTCTATGTACACAGGGATTATTACATTTGTGGGAGATACAGGACGCTTTAATTTACTAGTCAAACAAGTCAAACGAGTCAGATATTTAAACTTAACAGAGACCAAACAAAGACCAAAACAAGGACAACTGTGAATAAAATACAACCTTTTTTTCTTTTTTTTTTACAACTACATTTAAATCAAATAGAGAACTTTTTTTTTTGCAGTGTTGCTTATTTTACATTGAATTTATTTTATTTATTGTATTTATTTGGACAGACCATGTTGCCTATACTCTGTCACAGTCAAATCCTGTACGATGTGGATGGTTGAAAAACAAAGGACATTCTAAGTAAGTTTAAGAAAATTGCCAAGTCAATCCAGTGTCAGTGTAGTTTTGCGACTAAATTGGAAGATTAAATTGGGGATTACATTTTAATAACAGACAAGCTGGACATATCCGAGAGTTAGACAAAAGATTTAAATTAAATGTCTCAAAGAGGTTGGTGTTAGTATGGCTTATTTGCTTCAAAATGTCAATTTATACACAAGCAATTATATGGAGCTTGCCTGTGCTGACACTGAGCTACTGAGTCCAAATTTCCCTTGTGGATCAATAAAGTTCGTCTAAGTCTAAGTCTAAGTTCAGACAGCAGGGCTTAATGCTCAGTTCGGAAGTTTTAGAGAAATCAGATTTTTTTGCAAGGTAATTCACATTTCCAATTAAATGAGACTTGTATGTGATCTCCAGTGTGAACTTTAAATGCCCCAAAAATGTCCTGCATGTGCATTAGAGGACACGTCACACAAAGCAAGTGAGCTCAGTGTTTACGGAAGTAGAGTAGTGGGCTTGTCTCCCAAAATATGATCCAGTTCTTCATAAAATGGACAGGTTACACGTCCACAGCCACTTCGTTTGTTTGAGTCTGTAGCCTCCTTGTATTTGGCTCGTAGGCTTTCTATTTTTTGTTGACATTGGAGCCAGGACGGCCTGTAGCTGCACTCGGCCATTTCTTTGGCAATCATTTCAAAAAACGCCCCGTTCCGGCAAGAGTTTAGTACAGTGACCCCTCCTTCCTCAAATATGAATAAACTCGCTAACCTCGCTTTCCCTCCACTGACAAGACTCTGGCGTGTAGGTCGGATGAATGTGACCTGGCCGTTCAGACTGAAGTTGCATGTCAAAAGATCGGCTATATCTAAGTGGCCTGGGTCGCAATTGAAAAAATCCGATCTGTGTCATTCAGACTGTCATTAAAAGATCAGATACAGGTCGCATAGGGGCGAAAAAAATTCGGATTCGGGGCACTTCAGGCTGCAGTCTGAACGTTGCCTAAGTCTAATATTTTTTTGTCAGTATTACAAAACACTTACTTGTTATGGTAGGTCACTGGTGTGTAGACTTCCCGGACAAACTCAGGACCACTTGACTTTCCAAAAATTACCTGAAACCAACAAAAGCTGTTTAATATTTCGAGGTTTTTGTACATCAACTAAAGATTTTATAGTTTGTACATACCGGCATAGAGCAGGTTGGGTCCTCTCCACTCATGAACTGAATTTTAATGGTGATGTTTCTGGCTGATGTTAATCTGTTCACAAAGTTTAGCCGCTGAGGATACACAAACAGCAGATTCCTATAGAGAGAAACAGAAATATATGAAAACTACTTTACACTGCTATGATGAATATGTAAAATGTCAAAATGTTAATGCTGCAGTCGACTAAAGAAATTCTTGGTCGACTAAAGACAGGTCCTACTGACCTGAAGTAAAAAGGGGGTGTGGCAAAAGCTCTCAAAACTATTACATATCTTTATTACATATCTTTATGTATCTGACCCAAACTGCACTCACAAGACTACAACGAAAACAGCTAATTATGCAGAAAAAGTACTAGGAAACAATGTATTTATACTGTTTAAACTTATAAATCATGAGTTTAATCTGCCTTTTTACAACTAAACACCAAAAAATACAAAATCAGTTAAGTCATTCACTCAGTAACTTCTCTTTTTCACTGCTGTCCCATATATATACCTAATCGACTAATATGTTTAGATTCTAATATGAATTTTGGTGACTGAGACACCATCGACCGATTAATTGGTCGAACAACTAAAGGACGACAGCCCTACAGAACATGTGTAATTCTGAGGAAATTAAGACAATAACAGAGCCTTAAAACTTGATGAAAATTGAAACTATAATAACTTTCACCACAAGCAGCCCTCATTTTGAACACAGTGGCATGAATTAAATTTACTGTATCATGCACAAATATACAAGGTTTATGGGACAAATGTGGAAATTATAAATATTTTCTCAAAAGGTGCAGCACAATACAGTTATTATATTTTATATCTGTGCTTCAAAAGCAGTATAATGAGTGTATGGATCATTACAGTAACAAACATTACTTTATATTGAACTTAACAGGTGAAGCGCTTCATCAGAATATAGGGTACTTCCACTTTTAGACACTAGATGGCACCATTGCTACATTTATTTGTTCAATAGATGCACAGCCAAGCAAAACAAAGTACCTGAATACTTAATGACATTATTTACAACACTTTAACTGTTATGAAAATACAAGGTGAAATACCATAGATTCCACTAAAGATGATATCAGGCTGAGATTACAACATTTGGACATGTTTATATGTGTCACTAATGATTATTAAAAAACAAAATATTATAGACTGAATGACAGAATTAAATGACAAAGGGAATATTTTTGACCTGATGCTTTAATACTTTTATATGGATAATTTTTCACCAAGAGGAATTATTAAAAAAAAAAAAAAATAGACCCAGGTCTATTATGGTTAATGAAATGTTTGCATTTACTGAGTATTGTTAAATGGTATCTCTGCTGTACACAATAATACACACTACTGGTACAAAAAAAGTTTGTATCAGAACATGAGTGTTATTTTCACCTACTTTCATCTTCCTGTTAAATGCAACACTTATTCCAAAAATATATGACTTTGTTTTAAATTGTAAGAGTGTTAAATAGTTCCAAATGAATGACACAATTCACTGACTTTGGACAAAAAAAGTATTTCATTCATTTTAACAGTTTTATGGTCCTCTTATTTTTTATGTACTGTTCTTATTTTGATATTAATTTAATTTATAATAAAATATCAATGCGCATACATTGTGGCACGTATGAAAAAAATAAATAAAACACTATGTAACTTCTGGATGTTAGATAATGTGGCATTCACTTCATCTATCTTGCATTCATTCAATCATGGGTGTTTTTATTGCTCAAAAATACATGGACAGACCTTCACACTCTGAGCAGGCTTGCCTCTGCACAGATCTGACGTGTAACTTAGCCTGGTGGTGCCCTCTGTTGTCTCCAAGGAGAAGTTTAATGCCAAACCATCTAACACTCTAAGCAAAGCAATGACATCTCCATGGAGACAAGCAGTGCTCTTTTAATAAATTACAAAAAAAAAAAGAAACAGCTTTGTGGTGCTAGATAATAATTAACGCTACAAAGGCCCTGAAGGTTCGGTTAATATTATAAACCAGGAGTTGTTCAAGTATAAAAATATACAAAAATAACTATAGAAAGCCCTAGTTTCCACACTTGACGATTACAAACCTGCACTGAACAAAAAAAAGCTTAAAAATAGATTCTACAATAGCGATGACGCAACAAACCTCTTGAGCAATGTTTTTGAGCTTGTTTTCGTAGCTCATTCCTCAAGTGACATGGCCTGAGCACAAACCTGTTCACACACTTAGTCGTGCTTTTGTTACTTAAAAACTATTTGCATTTCATTCTGTTCAAATATACGTATTACATAACGCAAAAATGTTTAAGATAGGAACGGTTTAATCTATCGCCATGTAGTAGAAATATTCAGGCAGCAGAGAGAGTTAAACTGCATTATGTTATGTATTATATTACCGTATTTTCCGCACTATAGGGCGCTCTGGATTATAAGGCGCACTGTCATTGAATGGTCTATTTTTGAACTTTTTTCACAAATAAACCGCACCGGACTTTAAATGAAACACAACAGTTGGATGGGTCAGTGGGACTTTGTTTGGCGCGTTCACGGTGACTCTGGGATTTGTTCAGTTGTGGCGTGTAGGGAGGGTGCTGTCTGGGACCGCTGGATTGTCGGCGTGTTCGCAGTGACTCAGTTGTTTAGTTGTGTCTAGAAGTGGCACATTGCACTCGCTTTTTTGGTTTGTTCCTCCGTTCCGTTCCTCGTCGGTGGCGTGGAGTGATGAGTGTGGCTGTGGGTGTTTTTCGCTGTGCGGTCGCTGTCTGCTCTGTGTATGTTTGCATGAGCTGCAGGTGGTGCAGCTTTGTAGTTTACTGAAGTCGTGCTGGGACACCCGAGTGGATTCGTGTATAGGTCGTTTTTTGATGGGGTTGGAGGCTTATGAGTGCGTATGGTGCGGAAAATACAGTAAACTACACTATAACATTGTTAAAATAATTATATCTTCAATTTTTATTGCCTTGTTTTATAATTTGACTTCCTGGTTGGACACAGGCAGCAGATGTGGCATGTTAACAAGGGCCAAGAATTGTTTTCATTGCACAGTGGCTCCTAGACTAATAAAAAATAAAGATCAAAACCTGTGTTACATGTCAATTAAAAATGCGTTATGAATTAGTCTGTGTTTATTCTACAGTGGCATTTACAACATGCATACCAGACATTACAAATAGTTGATAACATTCCAATACTAAGATTACTATCTACCAGAAAGTTCATAGGTCTACTGCACCTTATTGCATTTTGAAGTTTTTTATAATGGCTTTAGAACAATCAAACCATTATATTTTGTTCAAATCATGTCATTCAAAGCATTCAAGTCACTAACCTGTAAATGCTATGGGGGACGTAGACTTCGCTGGACGGGAACTCCAGCACCTCTTTCACGGGTCTTATGGTTTTCTCGGACGCTGGGATCAGAGGGATGAGCTCTGTGGACAAACAGGCCTGAGGAGTGTCGTGGAGAGGGGACATGTCCAGTCGGATGTTGCCTAAAATAAACAAGGTCATTTAGATCAGTGAAAGGTAGTAGAGGATTTTTCTTTAAGTGGCATTTTTTATGAAAATTCCTTGTTGTAAAGCGCTTTGAGTGCTTTGAAGGTGGAAAAGCGCTATAGAAAAATGTGACCATTTACCATTTACCAAAGAAATGTAAATGAACAGCTTTGTGGTCAAAAGAATAAAAACACTGCCTCCAGCGTCTCCAGAGTTTAGGTGTTCAGTCCGACTTTAAATTATCATATGATTATCATTTATGTGTGAGATATGGAAAAGTGTTCAAATTAACTATTAATTCTACTGACAATTTAATAGTTGTTTGTGTTTTAAGAAGTAAATATTGAGTATTTCGGTTCTGAATTCAATTCCAATCAGAAAGCAGAATGAACTCCTCACATAGGGTCAAAATGAGAAGGCTGAGTGCTGTCTGCATCTCAGGGCCTGTTTACACGAGAAAGTGCCTTTCGTTTAGAAAGTGCTGGTGTTTTTGGGGCTTAAAAACGCAAAAATCTGATTCCACCCTCCAGAGTGGAAAAGTTGAAGAAGCTCCGCCGTAGCGTTTTTGTCTACACTGCCCAAACTCTGGTCAGATCTGCTCACGCTGCATACGCGTTTACGTCACATACATCACCACCTAGTGTCACCATCTAGCCGCCTGGCCTGCATACCCAATCGAATTCTACACACTTTTGCGTCACCGTATGCACACAGATTTCCTCCTGAAAACACTCGTCTAAACACATAATAAAAAGTGAAGACGTGACTCCACTTTTGCGTCTTCTGTTCAGACCGTCATTATATAAACATAGCCTCATTATAAATCGTTTTCTTGTCCAAGTATCAATGCTTTTCCAAACCAAACCAGACTAAGTTATAGGTCAGATCTGTGGAGAGGAAAGCCTGCTTTCTTTTTTTTTTTTTTTTTTTTTTTAGGTATTTTGAGCTATAAATCCACCTGTAATTGAATAAATGAAAAGGCTGCTTGTTGTCTGCATCTAATTATAAAGAGTTTTCTTGTCCAAGTATCAGGATGTGTGCAGTTAGCATGCTAGTTGTTGACTGAGGAATATCCTTGGTGCACTGCAAACTATTTAAAATGAACCACTTCTGTTTTTCACGTTTTAAGACAGTCAAATTCAAGTACAGGGCTCTCTCTGTTATGTCCTCAGTATGTGACATCCCAGACTAAACTGCAGTTCATGAACCAGCAGGAGTGCACGTTACTGCTATTATCTTTTATTCATCAGATTACTGTAACAGGGTATCCCCAGGTTTGACTACCCCAAATTTAAGACTTTTTAAAGACCTTTTAAAGATCACTTAAATGAAAATTTAGACCAACATCACACCCATTATGTGGGCGAAAAACACCAGATCCAATTCTAACGACCAAACAACTACCGGTATTATATCTAAAATCTAAAAGCCTACACGTCCCCATGATCCATCCAACGTCTTCCTCCATTCTACTGATTGTTTACTCATTGCCGCCGGCGCCAGAAACCAAAGTATTGTTTGCACATACTCCAAATTAGATGTTCATGATTTCACGTTGTTTTTTTTATCTCCATTTAACGTTGCACTGCAGCCCGGTGGCATATACAGAAAAATAGGCTAATGAAACTTAAGACCTTTGTGAAAAAAATAAGACTTGGACAACATAATTTAAGACTTTTAAGGCCTTAACTTAAAAACATGCAATTTAAGACCCTATTAAAGACTTTTAAGATCCCTGTACACTCTGTATAGTGAAGCAAATAAGATATGCAACCTGGAATTGTCTTTATTCTTCGTTGTGGAGTGGACGTCTTTTTAATATCGGAAAGGAACTTCAGCAAGTCCTCATCACTCAAGCGATCACCCTCCTGACAAAAAAAAAACATAAATGAAAATGTGTAAAATTTAAACATGACTGAGATGAGTCTTTAAAGTCTTGTGGGTTGAATTCTTACTTGTTTGAAGATGGTGCTGATGGTGATGGTTGCACATTTGAAGGAAGAAATATTACACAACTGATCCTCGAAAGTGCTGTAGCGCTCAGAGTTTCTTCTGGGGAGTTGAATCCGCCGGTCTATACTGCTGGATTTACCTGGAAATACATGAAATCCAAAAGCAGTTCAAACTAAAGTAAACAGATTGATACTACTTGAGAACTCCCTGCGTAAAATCACAATTTATACACCTTAAAACTTAGAAACAATGGAAATTAGCCTTGGCTATTATAGTTTGTTAGAAGTCTAATGTCCAAGCTTGTCCCTATTAAATGAATGAATGAAAAATAAATAAAATAAAATACTACATGAAATTAATTAAATACCAAAAGAATCTGACTGCTTTTATTATATTGTCTTAATGGGATTTCTTGAACATTATGATTTAATTTTATTGTTCTAGATATTAACTGACACCAAAAAAAATACACACACCAAAAAATAATGAGTCAGTATTATAAACCAGGTATAATTTTTTTAACGGTGCATCGTGTAACTTTCAGGTGGAGCTTCTCTCTATGTACAAGATTAGTCCTGGTTTTGTCCTGGTTTTGTCCTGTTTTAGTCCTGGTTTAGTCCTGGTTTAGTCCTGGTTTAGTCCTGGTTTAGTCCTGGTTTAGACCTGGTTTAGACCTGGTTTAGTCCTGGTTTAGACCTGGTTTCGACCTGGTTTCGACCCGGTTTCGACCCGGTTTCGACCCGGTTTCGACCTGGTTTGGTCCTGGTTTCAACCTGGTTTAGTCATGGTTTAGACCTGGTTTAGACCTAGTTTCGACCCGGTTTGGTCCTGGTTTAGTCCTGGTTTCGACCTGGTTTCGACTTGGTTTAGTCCTGGTTTAGACCTGGTTCAGTTCTGGTTTAGACCTGGTTTAGACCCTGTTTGGTCCTGGTTTCGACCTGGTTTCAACCTGGTTTAGTCCTGGTTTAGGCCTGGTTTAGACCTGGTTTAGACCTGGTTTCGACCCGGTTTAGACCCGGTTTAGACCTGGTTTGGTCCTGGTTTCAACCTGGTTTAGTCATGGTTTAGACCTGGTTTAGACCTAGTTTCGACCCGGTTTGGTCCTGGTTTAGTCCTGGTTTAGTCCTGGTTTCGACCTGGTTTCGACTTGGTTTAGTCCTGGTTTAGACCTAGTTCAGTTCTGGTTTAGACCTGGTTTAGACCTGGTTTAGACCCTGTTTGGTCCTGGTTTCGACCTGGTTTCGACCTGGTTTTGAGTCCTGGTTTAGTCCTGGTTTAGACCTGGTTTAGACTTGGTTCAGTTCTGGTTTAGACCTGGTTTAGACTTGGTTCAGTTTTGGTTTAGACCTGGTTTAGACCCGGTTTGGTCCTGGTTTCGACCTGGTTTCGACCTGGTTTAGTTCTGGTTTAGACCTGGTTTAGATGTGGTTTAGTCATGGTTTAGACCTGGTTTGGACTTGGTTCAGTTCTGGTTTGGACCTGGTTTACACCTGGTTTAGTTCTGGTTTAGATGTGGTTTAGTCATGGTTTAGACCTGGTTTGGACCAGGTTTAGACCCGGTTTGGTCCTGGTTTAGACCTGGTTTAGTTCTGGTGCACATGTGTTGTAGCTTTATCTTATCTTTATCTTATTTCATCTTAAATAATCCCCACTACACCACTGCCTATAAACTACACAATACGAGTAAATCAATGTTCCCTGGTGTAACTTTACTGAAACACTTGCCTCCTCTTAAGCTGTCCGAGTCAGTAGTGTCCATTGAAGCTGTTGCCGTGGAAATGACCTCCATGATGTTGACGGTCGCCCACGCGAAGGGCATACGATAACGCCCCAGTCTGTAGCAGAAGGTCTCCGCCTGACCCCGCAGCTTATCCAGTTTGTCCTTATTCTGATACACAGGGATAACAGAAATATCAATGATGCATGATGTAGATAGAGAGAGAGAGAGAGAGCAAGAGAATATACAATAGAGAGAGAATATGATGTAATTTCAGCTTTGTTTATTTAAGTTGATAAGACGGCAATGACCTTTGTGCCAGTTTTTGTTTCATGTAATAATTTGTAACATCAAAACCTACCAATATATTTTACTATAAGGGCGTAGGTTTGGTCTCACGCCCCCCAAATGATTTATGAATTCTTTCCAAAAACACACAGTCTGGGCAGGTCCAAAAAATAAGGGAGAGGTGGTTTCATTTTTCAGTTTGTGTCCATTGCCCTTTTAACATGATTCTTCACTTGATAACAGCGAAGCAGAAGTTTGTAGCAGATTTCTCTTTGCTTGTTGATGATGAGATATTTGTGAGGTCATGCCCAAACATTTTTCCATGGAATATTGTCAATAGAGTCCGGCTGTTCACAGTGCATGAGTTGGGCTCCGTTGGGAGGTGCACTTGTGGTGATAGTCTCTCTTTTTCTGCAGCGACTCATTATAAGACAAGTTTAACTGAAGATGAAGTCAAGTGAGTTTCTTTTGCAAAGTTTTTCAAAGCTTGGCGCAATCGTCTTCACTCACGCCTGCTCAAAGCCGCCATCTTCAGGTGCTGGCCCTGTCCTGCCGCTTCCCCAGTTTAGGCTCCTGGCTCCACTAATGACATCACTCTGTTACAGCCAGTGAAATAGCGGCAGGAGTAACCCTGTCTTCATATCACTGAATACATCTCAGAATGACTCATAAACAAGATGTGAACTAAAACGTGTTAAATTAATACTACTGAGTTTGGAAAAAATATCTGAATAAATTTTTTTATTTTTTGTTTACTAAAATAAAACGGTAGGAACTATTTTGTCTTCCCCAAATATTGGTTGTGACATGTCCCCACTGTTCCTATGCAAACCTACGCCCTTGATTTACTATAGATCTAAGTTCAATCAAAATGATAACACTGGGAATATCAAAGTTACAGTGTAAAAAGTAGCTAAAAAGACAGAATAATGCATAATACTGGACCTTTAAAATTGTGTCAGTGCTAATTTAACACACATACCTTCCCTGACTCAGTTTCTCTCAGGGTCAAGTAAGGGTCGGCGCATTCTGCAATCTCCCCCTGCTGCAGCACCTTTTCAAGCTGTAACAAACAAATACAAGTTTTAAACCAGATTTAAACAGTTTATTTGTAAAGCCAAATCATCACAAAACAAAAAAATATTCTAGAGTAAAAAGGTTGATTAAAGGGACTGTACCCACTTTTTGTTATGTAATTAAGTCAAATCTGTTTTGTTCTAGTACAGATGTTTTATAAAAGCAGCTCTTGAGGTAAAAATGAGACTGTTGTGTGCTGCCTGGATCTGATTATAAGGCATTTTATAATAACACTGGTGCACTGTTAGCATGCTAGTTGTTGTGAAAGATCTGTGAAAGTTGTGAAAAGCTCTTATAAACTCATCGTGGTTAATAATTACAATATAGAATATAGTTTAAAATTTAACTAGCTCTTTTTTTTTATGTTTTTAAGACAGTAAAAATCTGGAACAGAATTGTACATACCTTTATGACCAGGTAGATGTCGGGGGAAGGGTAGGTGATGGAGAAGATGGCAGAACGGGCCAGAGTGGAGTGATCCACGTGAGGGGTGTGAACTTTCAGGAAGTTTTTAAACTGATCGCAATTCAAGTCACAGTAGAAGTTCTCAGATATCTGCAGAAAAAAACAGACATGACAAAATAAATGATTATGGATAAGTGTGATTTTTGAATAGGGTGTCACAAAAAGTCTGAAAACAAGAAAAAAATTAATTGTAGAACAGAAACATTTCATTAGGTATTCAGATCAGATGTATTTGTATCAGATAACTATAGTTCAGATATTAGCCTGCCACTAAAAACAGTCTTACCCACTCCACAAAACACTCAAGGCAAAACAATTATAACGCTAGATTGTCGATGTGATTGTCTGTGTTGATAGAATAATTTTAGAAGTAAAACCAACCTTGCTTTTGAAGGATTTATATCTGAGCAGCAGCAGCGGGTTGTACTTCCTGATAGAAAGCTTGGCAGCGGCGGACTGATATATGAGAAAATAGTCCCTCAAGATGCAATGATTCATGTGGTGCAAGGTTAGTTTTATTTCAAACAGTATTCTATCGACACAGACATTTACATCGACAGTCTGGTGTAATAATAGTTTTGCTTCGGGTGTTTTGTGGAGTGGGTAAGACTGTTTTTAGTGGCAGGCTAACTATGGCCATTGACATGCACTAGCCTAGCACCAGTGACCTCTGCAAATACAAAGACTGGATCGAATATTTAAAAAAGCGTCTCCACACGTCTCCAACACTCTGGCTCACTAGGAAATTAGGTCCTATGTCAAAAATTCTGAACTGTCCCTTTAAATTTTACAAATGATTCTAGTGTTGAGGAAAGAATTCAGCGTAAATATGCAGGATTTGTGTGTTAAACAAGTGTGAAGGAAACAAAACACAACTCCAGGACTGTTTGTGATAAAGAAACAACATTATAACAGAAAGTAAAATGTAATGTGGGCCCTTTCATAGCACTACTGCCTGCTGGTGTCTACATTGCATTAGTCTATCAACAACAGTATTAATGTATGAGCTATGCATTTCCTACCATGACATAAGAGACGACTAGTGCAGTATTCGTCCCATATGCCTCTGGCTCGTGTCATGTGATCTCTCTCTCAGTTAAAATCCATTAAGCTCTCTCTGTCATCGTGTTATCCAACTCCACAGACCACAGTACAACACTCAACTGAGCTGGTTCAATATGTTAACTGGAATCCACCAAGCCACGAACTGTCATCATGTTACAGCCTATGAACCTAAGTTATTTTTATCAACTAATATATTGTGGCATAGTTTGATTCAACGTGATATTAAAATTAAACGAAAACACAAAAAGTACTAAAGAAAAAAACACATATTTAGGTCAAAACAGCTGTTTGTATCCAAGATGCAATAGGAAACTGCTCTTCATCTTGGTAATTGCTGCAAGAAAAAAATCTTAGCTATTAAAATATCAGACAACAGCTCAGCCTAGAAAAACAGTATCCAGACAGATTTTCATGAAAATTTCAAAAAGAGTCATGAATACATTGATGACTCTTCTTTCTGCTCCTTTTCATTCATTTCTTGTATGTTTGATGTTGTGACACTGGTAAATGTCTTTTTATACTTTATGAATGACGTAAACAAACAAACAAGTAAAATAATAAATAAAAATTAATTATAACAATATTGTCCCCAATTTTCAGAGTTGGTTGACTGATTAATACTAGTTTAAAGGGCCAATATTACTCTATTTTCTGATCTTTGTTATAATTTTCTCATCAAAAACAGACCTGGAGGAGCGTTTTGTTTCATTCACACATGTTTAACACAAAAAAACATGCATATTTAGGCTGTTAAAACTGCCTAAACACTCTGAAAACACTCTGTCCCACCTTGTGATGTGGTAATACACTGTGTTTTTAAACTCCATACAACTTCACTAAAATTATTTGGATAATTTCTGCCCTGGAATCGCCAATATCACCTGAACAAAAGGTAAACAGTAGCTACAGTAACATGAAAACACTTCATGAGTATTTTGAGCTTTGGAGATGTAGACAAACTAATTATAAAGGGCTACTCAAGCATGCGTGAATGATAGGGGTGTAATGGTACATGTGTTTGCGCCAAACCGTTTCGATACGGATCGTTCGGTTCAGTGCGCAGCTGTGCTCGAGTGAATTTGCGCAATTTGTGTGTGTTAACACTCTGCCACTACATGTGAAGCTACACGGAAGGCTCGGCTCTTTGGTTTTCACGAGGGAACTCATCTGTGATTCGAGTGGCAGTGTTTCCCGCAGCGCTTTATAGTTAGGGCGGCTGCCTTGACAACAATTGCCCCCCGCCTTGACTACGTCCCTCCGAACCACGTGAAACCTCGCAAAACTTCGGTCATCTCGCTACGGTTCTCACTCTCACCTTTTATCCGCCTCCCCCGCAAGTTGGGTTTTCTGGCAAAAAATATGAAGATTGAGTAAAACTTCATCCTGGAACTGTTAGTGCTGCGCACTTTACTTTTTGAAAAGTTTTGTTTGCTGTTTGCATTATTTTATTTTTCCGATTGTACAATGTTAAAGCAAATTGTTGGTTTAATAAACACACAAATAAACAATAAACAAATGCTTTTACATTTTGTTCCCATACTGTATCGAAATGAACCGAAACGTGACCTCAAAACCGAGGTACGTACTGAAACGTGATTTTTGTGAACCGTTACCCCCCTAGTGAATGAACCAAAACACAACTTGAGGTATGTTTTTGATGAGGTAACAACATTATAACATGACTTAAAGCTCACTTAGAGACTTTAATTGTCCCTAAATATATACACTTTGTCATATATTGAAACATAAATTCTAATCACAATTAAAATGTGATTGTGCAGCCCCATTAAATCAACTTTTACTTCTTCTTTTGAAACATGATAGTGGTTATTAAAAGCCACATGTTGGGTCAGATTGTGTGTGTCTCCACTTTGGCATATGGGCTACAGAGACAAGAATAATCGCATTGCATTATGGGGAATTACAGGAACATCTGCTCCTGATTTTACAGATGTGAATTTAAAACAAACATCTATTGGTATCCTTGGAGACAGAATGAGATACAGCTCCGGGTATCTGTAGCTCGAACAAAGCTCGGGAGGATTATAATGTCTTTAAAAATGGGGGATACACAGGAAAATGGGCTAGTGTCAAATACCTTTTAGTTCCACTTTAATTAAAACTAAGTGAAAAAACAAGCTTGACAACATGACCCATAAAGACAGCGCTTTATCAGTTTCTTCAAAGCAAGAAGAAACGTCTTAAAAAACAAGGAAACAGAGGGCAAACAAATGATATTTCAATAACCTATGCCCTATATCGTGACAGTGCAAGCTAAATTTCATTATTGACTTATTGTTACTAAAAATAGAAAGGAGGATCACTGATATCCAGATAAGCCTTCTCATCACAATGCATTAGTAGTAATAGTCTTAGGATTATGTGTTAAAGCTATAGTACGTTTTTTCTACACTGGTCAAAGGTCCTATATTACGCCCTGTGAGCTCGAAGCCATGTTAGAATGTTGATATCTCCTCAAAAACATACCTGGAGTTGTGTTTTGTTTCATTCATACACGTTTGAGAAATCCTGGTTTATTAGTCTGTCTACATCTCCAAAGCTCAAAATGCTCTGTTCCACCTTGTGATGTCATGAAGTGGTAGTTTTCAGGTTAAAGTTCAAGTTAACCTGTATTTATTTATTTATTTTTTTACAACTTTATTGATCAACATTTTTAGTTTAGAACAAACACTCCAATAAACACACACAAAAAAGGACAAGGACAAGCTCACCAAAAAACATATATATATAAATCAATTAAACAAAATTAAATCAATAAGTTTAAATTCACATTCAGTATGATGTACATAATCGAAACATATGTACATAAAATAGCCAAATAATAACAACAATAAATATAAATATACCTATAAAAAATTTTAATAAAATATAACATTAAAGATCAAATAGATACTTAAAGATAAAATAGATACAAAAGCTACCTTTTAAAATAGTTCAATTGAAATTGGAAATTCCAGGGCTGAAATTATCCAAATGATTCTAGTGAAGGTGTATGGAGTTTAAAAACACAGTGGAGCACTTCCTGTATCACCACATGACATCACAAGGTGGAACAGAGTGTTTTTCTGTCTGAGAGGTTCTGATGAGGAAACAATATTATAACATAGGGCTTGTTTACACGACGTTTAAACGCTTGCGGGTAAAAACGACACAATATTTTATCGGAAGTGCCTTTCATTTAGACGGTGACAGTGTTTTTGGGGCTTAAAAACACAAAAATCCGCAACCATCCTCCAGAGTGGAAAAGCTGAATACTCTCTGCTGTAGAGTTTCCGTCTACACTGCCCAAGACGCAAAACTCTGGTCTGACCTGCTCACGTCGCGTACGCGTTTACGTCACATACATCACCACTTAGACGCCTGGCATGCATACCCAATCGAATTCCAAAAATAAAAAGTAAAAACGCTTCTGTTCAGACCATCATCATTATATAAACGTAGCCATAGATCTGAAAATGGTATAATACAGGACCTTTAATATTCCTCAGTCTCTAAAGATATACTTATTTTCAAATCCAAACCTGATTTTACTGGGAATAATCATGTTTATTTTCACAGTTACAAAAAACATTTTCCATTTTGTGAAAGCGGTTGCATTTTTGTGTTTTGTGTGTTTCAAGAACATTATTAAATCAGAAAGCAGAACCACCTCTTTTGGTTGCCAGATCTTATTAATAAAACCCACAAGGGCTCTCGACGATGAGATGAGTAAATGCAGCTTCAGTTTTGAGTGTGCTGCCAGTAAACCAGCCGGAGCATATGTCACCGCTATTAACTTTAAGCTTAAAGAAAAGTCTGCAATATCATGTTGACATTTTGAAAACTTTGTATTTTAAAGTAATGCTGTGTAACTTTCTGGAGATGGCACCGCAGAATGGAAATAGAAAGTTAAATCCATAATTTGGGACATTCTTCATGGAGATTATAACAAAAGAGTATAGAAAGAAGCAGGAAGCCCCGTTAATGGACAAATGAGAGTCAGGTTTGTGGAGATGCAAGCCCGCTCACAGTAAGGACAGATGTTTATTAGGGGTGTAATGATATCCAAGTCTCACGATACAATATCGTCGCGGTATGAACCTCACTGTAGGATATTTATTGCGATATAGTGGGAAAGCTCATGATATGGTGGGGAGGCTCACGATTAGGGATGTAACAATATCCAAATCTCTCGGTACGATATTTTCACGATATACATCTCACAGTACGATATTTATTGCGATATTTTGTGGACGCTAACAACTGTTTACTGTTTTTCCTCTCAAAATGCCTTGACAAGAGTTAACCCAAAGAACTAAGACTTAAAAGTGCTTAGAACTGTTATTTCTTCATGTAGTCTGCACTGAAATGGAGCAAAGGATCATGGTCTATGTAGTTCCCTCTGTCTTTTCTTAGCTACTGCTGCACCATAACTCTTAATTTAAGCAAAGAGACTTTTAATTTGATATATTGTGATGGTCCATGATATTATTGTGAGACCTTCGACGATACGATATCACGACACTTCCGTTATTGTTAAATCCCTAATGCTTATCTATGTGTTTCAGCGCAATCAAAACATCCAAAATGAAAAACATGCTTTTAAGAAAACCAATTGTTTGTCTTGTAGCATTTTCTTTATTTTCCAGTTGTCAGATACACTTGCCTTCACTTACCGCCTACGTATCAGACCTAGTACTATAACTAAAACACAACACAGCTGGACTATAATGGGCTATACGGGGCGACAGGGTCAGTGAGCAGCCCTCTCCTCCCTCTGTGCGAGACTGAGCACGTAAATACAGGCTTAATCCTCAACGAACCTTCACCTAAAAGTCCCCAGCTGTCTATATCTGTATCCGTGGGTTTCAGAATGATGAGCAATGAGCACTTTTACCATAGTGATTAACAATTTAAAAACTAAATATTATATCTTTTGAATGGGGAAAAAGTCCTCCAAATGTTGTGCTTAACAAGAAGCTTAAAGTCATGAGGGAAAAAAAGCGTGGCACGGTGACAGTGAAAACTCAGCTTTGGTCTCAAACTACCCAGAGGCACATGTGAGGCGGGTGAGGCTGAAACCAGAATAAATTAGACTGAGCTCAAATCTAAATGATGAGACCTCCCCAAAGTCATTAGGGTGTGTGACATGATGGTGAAAGCTCTAACGCAGGGTTGAAAGATTTAAAAAAAGTAATGTTTTAAGATGCTAAATAAAATGTAGTATGAAATAAAGTTTACAATAATGTAAGAGCTGCTACCAAGGAGGTTACTGTTGATGCCAATGAATGACTATTAACATCTGTGAGAATACTACTCAACTTCAACAAATGCACATCAACACTGAAATCATTACTCATTTCATTCACACTGTGGATTAATAGACATACCATCTCTCTAGACTCAGGCCAGGTTTATGAAATCAACATTTCTTAAAAAAAGTAATTTGACATAAACATTGTTTCCCAAAGACGTTGTGACCCTCAAGACACACAAGAGATTTTTTTTTTTGGGTCGCCTTGTCACAATCTGCAAAGAGGTCTGCAATATCTCTTCTCCTGCACCCTGGACTGGAACGCGTTACAAAAACACAGACATGTTTGGTATAATTTCTAATCCTTTTGTAATTATTTTATTGACTATTTTGTTCCAATATTGCTGGTTCAACTGAATGTTTAAAAGAAAAAGAAATGGGCTACATTTAATGTCCAAATAGGTGACTTATGGATCCTTTTATTGTTGGTTCAATTACTGTTTTTCATTGTTTAAAACTTGAGTAATACTACTTGTTCAGAGAGACATGATCACTCAGTCAACAATAAAATATCCTCATTAATGTTCAATAATGGGTAAAATATGGGTCCCCAGAAAACACACTGGATTAAAACACACTACTGATACTTGATGATGATGATGACCTCATATCAACCAATACAGGGATGGAAAATGGAATTTATTTTCTTAAAATACAACTAACTTATTACACAAGAGATCCAACTGTATTATGTAACTGTAATTTATCCTTCAAATAACTACAGATCTGCTTCGTATGAACAAAAGTTCAAACATTATGAAATGTTCTAGTTCAAAATCAACCTGTAAACATTCTTAGTACAACCAGTTAAAGGCCCAACCAGGATATTGGCTTAACTGTTATCATGGAACCAGTCCCTGATCCAGCGTTTTTCAATACTAAATATCGAATATTGGCAGTGATACTCGATACCAGTTTTGTATCAGTGCATTCCTTATTTTTGCTTCTAAAAATTACCATAAATGACATTGTTTATATATGCTTACATGCTTATATAGTGACTTCTGTAACCTAGAATAACAATGAATGTATCTTGGCATCCCTACAACAAAAAATTCTTCTCAAAAAGTAAAAGTAAAAGTACTCAAAAATAAGTTGCACATGTTAAAATATATAATTACTTATCATACCTTTACACCTCCTACATTCTGTTCAAGACTTACAAACATACAATGCTTTTCTGTGTCTATTTCCTCCATGTCTCAGAGTGCTTACCTTCTTTTTTTCTTTGAGGTCGTACAGGGCCATTGTGGCGAAAATGGGCTCGATGTCGATCTCAAACCTAAGATGGAACAAGGCAAAACAACGTTACACACGTCATAAACCAGCCCGCTGTTCGAACTGTCAAATACAACCCTGCAACTTCAATCTGGTTACATTTATTTCAGTATATTGTTGAACTGGGACACCCACAATCCACTACAGTAAGTAATAACATGTTAGGACTATGAAAGAAAGCCAAAACCACTGAGGTCAACACAAAAATTTGGCAGTTTAAGCAAGATGAGGATTGAAAGGAACTAGCTATCTGTGCAAAGACAAATCCCATAGAGAGAGGGAGGGACACAGTTATCCACCCACACACTCCTCACAGAAATGACTTAAAAGAATATATTGTGGTTAATATGGCTTCACAATCAATCTTTATGTGGCATAGAATAATAGATTTGTCCATACAGGGGCTGAAACTGGGGACATATGTGGAGATATATAGATAATATAGTGTCTACAATATAATGTGGATATTGTTTTTAGGTTGGATTTTGACATTTAGCACATAAATAGAATAAATAAAAATGAAAAAGTAATTGTATATGGCGATATTTTTGCACTTTTGTGTTTAAAGGTGCACTACTAGGGTCTGCCAACTTGTTTTCATGGTATTTCTTTGCCTGAAAAGTTCTACATTATGGTAATAAACGGTTCTACCTTGGATTCGTTCATTTTTTATTCATGTGTTTCAGAAAAACTTCTCCTTCCAGATTTGAAAGACTTTGTGAGGACCTTTCCTCATTCAAAAGATAAAATATTTGGATTTGAATTGCTTGAAACCCATGAATTCCTCAAAAAACATTGAAAGCAGGCATTCTTTAAGAGAAGAAATAACATCAACAACAACAAGTTACACAGTGCTCCTTTAAATTTACACTACAGTCATAATTTGTGTGACACTTAAACATCAACCATGACATTTGCTGGCATGTTTTAGCACATTTCTGATAGATTTAAAAGTTGTATTATTGTTACTGAGAAAATCCAAAAAGATATTGAAGCATTTTGTCAAGATTGTCTACTCCTTCTGACTTTTCAAAATTCCTTTTACAAGAATGTACAATATGCTGAGGCCAGATTTTAATAAGCATCAGGGACGTACAATAGATCTCATTTAACACAGACTAAACCATCTGTCCATGTAGGGGCACAAACAGAGACAACAACATATCTGACCCTCCTTAGCCTCCTACACTCATTATGTAAATGTTTTGTGTAATTGTGTGGCATGTACTTGATGGATTGACATCGGATAAGGATGCGGTCTCCAATGTGTTCTTTGGGACAGTCTGGGATGGGTCTGATCTCCACAGCATCTTCCTGAAAAAGCAAAGCAAAGACAAACCATGTAAAGATAGAGGTTATATTATTTTACTAATAGGTACTACTAGAAGTCTAGCTTGGGGGGACAAGTTTTTGTAATAAAACATTTTATTCTACACAGTAAAAAGTAATAATATTAACTATTACTAACTATTAGCTGAAGACTTCGAGGACATTTGGAGACCCTTAATAGAATTTTTGAAAAATAAGTAATTTTTACTGTGACATGTACAATACTGAATGTGATATGAATATTTACAAGTTTTCACTTTGTTATTATCAGTGACAACTGTCTGTGTGTGATTAATGTCGTTATTGTTATTGTTTTGTTTTGTTAATATTTTAATATGAAAATCTCAATAAGTGCATTGTTTAAAAAAAAAAAAAAACTATTACTAACTATTAACTACTAACTATTAGGAACTATTAACTACGAACTATTAACGATTACTAACTACTAACTATTAACTACTAAGTATTAACTATTACTAACTACTAACTATTATGAACTATTGACTACTATTACAAACTAATAACTACTAACCATTAACGATTACAAACTACTAACTATTAGGAACTAATCACTACTAACTATTACAAACTATTAACTATGAACTATTAACGATTAATAACTACAAACTATTAACTACTAAGTATTAACTATTACTAACTATTAACTACTAACTATTACAAACTATTAACTACGAACTATTAACGATTAATAACTACAAACTATTAACTACTAAGTATTAACTATTACTAACTATTAACTACTAACTATTACAAACTATTAACTACGAACTATTAACGATTAATAACTACAAACTATTAACTACTAAGTATTAACTATTACTAACTACTAACTTATGAACTATTGACTACTATTACAAACTAATAACTACTAACCATTAACGATTACAAACTACTAACTATTAGGAACTAATCACTACTAACTATTACAAACTATTAACTACTAACTAGCGCTAACTACTAAGTATTAACTACTAACTACTAACTACTACTCCTACTCCAATTAGTATTACTACTACTACTACTACTTCTGCTACTATTACAACTATTAACTATTAAGTATTATTAATCACTTTTCAGATTGAAAGGTATTTTTATTGAGCGTATCTAAAAGGTGCACTTGTGCAAACAAAAAACATCTACATTTTCAAATGCAGTTTCATGAAAGAAAAAAACTGAAGGATCTTAGAGGATTTTATCCTGTACTCTCCTCTGTAAAGCACTTTGACTTTGTGTACGAACTGTGTTTTACAAATAAACTTGCCTAGACTGTCGTGATCTCATGTGTACAGACTATAAAACGCAACAGGCCTATATAATGTTATGATGTTTGGGGCTCAACTAAAGAAATTCTTGGTCAACTAAAGACATGTCTTCTTGACTGATTATCTGACTAAATGAGGGCCTGACAAAACTATTCAAAACTGTACTTCAAAAACTACAACTGAAAAGTACTAAAAAAAACTGTGTATTTAAATGTAAAAAAAAGATTAAACTCATGAGTAATTCCCAAATCTTCAGCTAACTCACACCACACATCCACCAATTTATCAAACCTAAATGCCTAGTGGACTACAGCCATAATGACGCTATTTAAAATCCATCTATCTTCCTCTCATGAGCCGCACCTCGTCAGCTGGAGGACACAGTGCATACAGCTCCGGGTGTCTGTTTCCGAGTCGGGCCTCTTGGTTGAACCGGTCCAGCTCCTCGTGACTGCTAAAGGCCAGCAGCCCCTCCACCCTCTGGTCAGGGGTCAGACAGCGCAGGTTGAAGTCTGAGGAGGTCAGCGTGCGGCCAGAGTCGTCGCTCAGCACGGCCAGAGATGGGGACTTCACCTGGGGGCAGAGGCAGAGGAGCAGAGGCGGTGGGTGGACAAGCAGAAACAACAGAACAGAAATGTGTGGGTGGGACAGAAAAAAACAACAACTAAGGTCTGTATTAAAGCAGAACATGTGTGGGGCTTTCAAGACGAAGGCAAATCATGTGAAGGATGTGAATAACATACATTTTTACAATACAAAAGAGTGTACGTGCTGCGCAGACTCTACTACTATTGTTGCCACAGCTGCCCTGGGGCAAACTGAGTAAAGCGAGGCTACCAATCTGTGCCATCAGCCCCTCCGACCACCACTAGGCCTCTCATGATAATTACGATTCAATTTTTCACTCAGTATATTAAATCTGGAACAATACACTTTGGGGCTTAACTTTTTTGTCTGTATATTTGTTTGTTGTATTTACAATAATGGGAAGGTTTCTGCTATTTTTTTTTATGTAATACAGTAAAAGCTGAGCTCTTGAAAGTTGAAAAAGAAACTTCCAGGTCTAATTATTTGTTCATTCTCCTATTTATTTGCTGTAGCTCTGACCTTTTAAAAGTAGTTTCAGTCTTATTGTTTAATATTCCTTGGTATATTGTGGTTCAAAATATGTTTTTTTAACAATCAAAAGTACTTTTTGCAATTGGAGAATAATTTAAATACTGTATTGTGTGATTTCTAAATTGGGTCTCAAATAACTATTCCAGGACTTTATACATTTTCGCCAGAGCAAAACTGAACACAAATGACAATAACCAAAATATCATTTTGATATCATAACGTCAAAAGTCTCTCAATAATATCGTGGGCCATCACAATATATATCGAATCACAAGATTCTTTGCTTAAATTAATTGTTTTGATGCAGCAATAGCTAAAAAAACAGAAGGAACTACATCGACCATGATCCTTTGCTCCATTTTGGCGCAAACTACATGAAGAAACAGCAGTTCTAAGCACTTTTAAGTCTTGGCTCTTTGGATTAAGTCTTGTCAAGGCATTTTAAGAGGAAAAAGTAGCATGTTCACAATTTTGTTAGCCTCCACAAAATATCGCAAGAAATATCGTACCGTGAGATTTGGATATTGTTACATCCCCACAAATTAGACTCGATTATAACCTGAAGAAGCCCACTCCAGTAGCTTGAGTTTTCTGTTTTTTTGTTTTTTTTACCAATTCTTGAGATGGTCTTATAAATATATTACTGTATTTTCCGGACTATAAGTCGCTCTGGAATATAAGTCGCACCAGCAAAAACACATATAAAAGTCGCACCAGACTATAAGCTATAGTATAGTATATTATATATATTATATTAGTATATTTGTATATGATATATATAGTATACTATAAATGTATTTTATAAAATCAGAGACCAAGAACCAACATTTCCTCTTGAAAGGCAAGTTACAGTAATAACAACAGAATATGTTAACTGTTAATATGTTAATGTCACATATTAACAGTTATTCAGATGATTATAGCATAAACAACATAACATAAGTTTACCAAACTCTCCATCTCACTCCAAATCACTAAATCCATTGAATTCTTCATCCTCGGTGTCACTTCTGTGACACCTCTGGAGATAAACCATAGATCCATGATGTAAACCAAGAGCCGCTTCCTCTTCTGCGTAGCCGTCGTCAGACTCAGCATCAGTTCCAGTTACAATTATTCCGGCCTTTCTGAATCCCAACAGGACGGTTCAGGTTTTGTTGATCCATCCAGTGACTTCCAGGAAAGTTGCATGGTGCACCCGCCCGGTTGCCGTGAAGTTGTGTTCTTCATCCCCGATTTCCACCAGTCAATCACAAGTTTCTCGCTCACTCCAAACTTTCTTTCTGTTGTTCAATTACCATTTTTGGTTGAATATTTCACTTTTTGCAGTGAGACAGTGGCTCTTTCTACAGGAGGCATGCGCAGTAGATTGTGAAGTGACAGTGGTACATGAGTAATAGTAGTACTAGATACTGACAAACAAACCTAGAGCCTCTGGCAGCTGTCAGTCTGAACATTTTAATATATAAGTCGCACCTGGAGTATAAGTTGCAGGAAACACCCAAACCATGAAAAAAGCGCGACTTGTAGTCCAAAAAATACAGTAATAGCTTTTAATTGAATTGCCTTAAGAAAACATCAAATTCATGAGATGCATTTACATTTCTGTTTAACACTCAAAATTCCCGTTCTTCCAGTTTGCTTTTCTCCATCCTGTCTTTAATGTTCAAGTTGTTAACATATGTAAACATCTAATAGGCAAAGAGCGTGTCTAGACTGTTTCTGTTTTGGCCTGAAGACAAAAAACAGTCCCATGGGTTTTTGAAGTCATGTGTTTCCTGCATGAAATTTGAAGTAATTTGGTGAATCTGCAGTTCTGTGAAGTTAATTAGGAATTTTATCTGCGCAGACATGCTTCATATAAAAACAATATTCCCATTTTTATCATTGAAACACATCTCGTTGTGTATATTTTACTTAATCCTTAAATGGTATTAGTTACTCGTCAGTAGAAATGTATTGATGGATGTTACATTAGCGGACCAGGTTGTGTAAGCAGAGATTACCCATGAGGCTTTGGGGCAGTACAGAGAAAATGAAAGCACAGAAGATAACAGAGATGACTTCGGCCCTAAAGCCATAGCAGTTCTCACTATCAGCAAAATCACAAATGAGGTTTTTAGAATTTTACTTTTAAGTTTACACATTTTATTAGATTTCAAAGATTATACTTGTTTCTTTTTTTCCCTGGGAGGCATGTGGGAAAAGGCAAAATGGGTGGGGCAGGAAGGAGGGGTAGTAGATGATGAGGGTGTAAAGGATCTGCTAGTGTTGTAGTCAAAACCACACTAATCGAGACCAAGACCAGTCCAAGACCACAGGGTTCCGAGACCAGGACAAGACCAAGACCTCTGAGGGTCAAGACCAAGACAAGATCGAGACTTTTAAAGGCCAAAACTGAGGCAAGACAGAGACCATGGCCCACCGAGACTAAATCAAATCCATCTTCGTAATTTTTGACATTTATTTGTATTTTATTTGTATTATTTTGGCACAAATATATCAAAGTTTTTATAAATCTATCTCCATTTTATCACTTGTCAAGTATCAGACCTTGAGGCCGAGACAAGACTGAGTCAAAGAGCCTTCAAGACCGAGACAAGACCGAGTCAAAGAGCCTTCAAGACCGAGACAAGACCGAGTCAAAGAGCCTTCAAGACCGAGACAAGACCGGGTCAAAGAGCCTTCAAGACCGAGACAAGACCGGGTCAAAGAGCCTTCAAGACCGAGACAAGACCGGGTCAAAGAGCCTTCAAGACCGAGACAAGACCGAGTCAAAGAGCCTTCAAGACCGAGACAAGACCGAGTCAAAGAGCCTTCAAGACCGAGACAAGACCGAGTCAAAGAGCCTTCAAGACCGAGACAAGACCGGGTCAAAGAGCCTTCAAGACCGAGACAAGACCGGGTCAAAGAGCCTTCAAGACCGAGACAAGACCGGGTCAAAGAGCCTTCAAGACCGAGACAAGACCGGGTCAAAGAGCCTTCAAGACCGAGACAAGACCGAGTCAAAGAGCCTTCAAGACCGAGACAAGACCGAGTCAAAGAGCCTTCAAGACCGAGACAAGACCGGGTCAAAGAGCCTTCAAGACGAGACAAGACCGGGTCAAAGAGCCTTCAAGACCGAGACAAGACCGGGTCAAAGAGCCTTCAAGACCGAGACAAGACCGGGTCAAAGAGCCTTCAAGACCGAGACAAGACCGAGTCAAAGAGCCTTCAAGACCGAGACAAGACCGAGTCAAAGAGCCTTCAAGACCGAGACAAGACCGGGTCAAAGAGCCTTCAAGACCGAGACAAGACCGGGTCAAAGAGCCTTCAAGACCGAGACAAGACCGGGTCAAAAGAGCCTTCAAGACCGAGACAAGACCGGGTCAAAGAGCCTTCAAGACCGAGACAAGACCGAGTCAAAGAGCCTTCAAGACCGAGACAAGACCGAGTCAAAGAGCCTTCAAGACCGAGACAAGACCGAGTCAAAGAGCCTTCAAGACCGAGACAAGACCGGGTCAAAGAGCCTTCAAGACCGAGACAAGACCGGGTCAAAGAGCCTTCAAGACCGAGACAAGACCGGGGTCAAAGAGCCTTCAAGACCGAGACAAGACCGGGTCAAAGAGCCTTCAAGACCGAGACAAGACCGGGTCAAAGAGCCTTCAAGACCGAGACAAGACCGGAGTCAAAGAGCCTTCAAGACCGAGACAAGACCGAGTCAAAGAGCCTTCAAGACCGAGACAAGACCGAGTCAAAGAGCCTTCAAGACCGAGACAAGACCGGGTCAAAGAGCCTTCAAGACGAGACAAGACCGGGTCAAAGAGCCTTCAAGACCGAGACAAGACCGAGTCAAAGAGCCTTCAAGACCGAGACAAGACCGGGTCAAAGAGCCTTCAAGACCGAGACAAGACCGGGTCAAAGAGCCTTCAAGACCGAGACAAGACCGGGTCAAAGAGCCTTCAAGACCGAGACAAGACCGGGTCAAAGAGCCTTCAAGACCGAGACAAGACCGGGTCAAAGAGCCTTCAAGACCGAGACAAGACCGGGTCAAAGAGCCTTCAGACCGAGACCAAGACCGGTCAAAGAGCCTTCAAGACCGAGACAAGACCGGGTCAAAGAGCCTTCAAGGCCGAGGCAAGACCAAAAATTTCTTAATGATACCCAGCCCTATTAATGAATACATACAACAAAACTTTGACACAATAAAGTATGTGTAGAAAAAAAAAGATTATTTCAGTAGCATATGCATATCTGGATGATAAATGAATATTGTAATTATCATGACAGGCCTGGGCACAGAACTGACCACTCACAGTCCACCCTCCCTGTGAACAGCCATCACACAGACCGTGGTCCCATGGCCAACACTGGACCCTCCCGAGCAGAGACGAGTCCCATTAAACCGTGAACAGAGCTCGTCTTTCTCTCTGTGCCCCTCAGTCACTGGCATGCACATTATGGGACACCCGGAGCTGCTAATGGGGCCGCTGGTTTGGGGTAGATTCACTAGAACAGGGGGGGTGGTGGGGAGTTGTGGCGGCGGGGAGGGAGGGAGGGGTAGATGGGGAAAGAGCCAGGAACAGAAGAGGCACTGGGCTGCACTGATTGGCTGCAGAGGCATCGCTAAAGGGGGTTTAACTATGACACAAAAGAGTTGGCGAAGGATAGTGGGAACATAGTGAGAGTTGGAGTTAAAAGGCTGAGAAAGTACTGATTAATACTAAATAAAACAATGTATTTTATATTGGTGCTAGAAAAGTATATTGTATGGTATGTTAACATTACTCGAACTAAATATTTGTGTCTCGATTTGAGCAGATTTGATAGACCAAGTAAAATTATTAACCGATATTTAAAAAAGACCTTTTTAAATTCAAATCATTTTAAAATTTGCAATGGCCAGATAATCCATGCATCATTCGCTCATTTGGTTTTCAAAATAAAACCAAAAATAAGAAAACGAAAAAATAACAACCAGACTGGGACAAGATCACGACTGAGACCGGAACTGAGACAGGAACTGAGGCCAGGACTGAGACCGGTTTAGACCTGGTTTAGACCTGGTTTAGACCTGGTTTAGACCTGGTTCAGTCCTGGTTTAGACCTGGTTTAGACCTGGTTCAGTCCTGGTCCTGGTTCAGTCCTGGTTCAGTCCTGGTTCAGTCCTGGTTCAGTCCTGGTTCAGTCCTGGTTCAGTCCTGGTTCAGACCTGGTTTAGTCCTGGTTTAGTCCTGGTTTAGTCCTGGTTCAGTCCTGGTTCAGACCTGATTTAGTCTTGTTTTAGTCCTGGTTCAGTCCTGGTTCAGACCTGATTTAGTCTTGTTTTAGTCCTTGTTCAGTCCTGGTTCAGACCTGATTTAGTCCCAGTTTAGTCCTGGTTTAGTCCTGGTTCAGTCCTGGTTCAGACCTGATTTAGTCCTGGTTTAGTCCTGGTTCAGTCCTGGTTCAGACCTGATTTAGTCCTGTTTTAGTCCTGGTTCAGACCTGATTTAGTCCTGGTTTAGTCCTGGTTCAGTTCTGGTTCAGACCTGATTTAGTCCTGGTTTAGTCCTGGTTCAGTCCTGGTTCAGTCCTGGTTCAGTCCTGGTTCAGACCTGATTTAGTCCCGTTTTAGTCCTGGTTCATTCCTGGTTCAAACCTGATTTAGTCCTGTTTTAGTTCTTGGTCAGTCCTGGTTTAGTCCTGGTTCAGTCCTGGTTCAGACCTGATTTAGTCCTGTTTTAGTTCTTGGTCAGTCCTGGTTTAGTCCTGGTTCAGTCCTGGTTCAGACCTGATTTAGTCCTGGTTCATTCCTGGTTCAAACCTGATTTAGTCCTGTTTTAGTTCTTGGTCAGTCCTGGTTTAGTCCTGGTTCAGTCCTGGTTCAGACCTGATTTAGTCCTGGTTCATTCCTGGTTCAAACCTGATTTAGTCCTGTTTTAGTTCTTGGTCAGTCTTGGTTTAGTCCTGGTTCAGTCCTGGTTCAGTCTGGCACTGCAGTTTAAGTCACGGAAACGGAAAATGGCCCTTTTTTCCATTATTCATTTAAACACAAAATCAAAAAATGAATTATCTGTTTTTTCATTTTGGTTTTGGACACAGATGATGAAGAAAATAGTTGTTTTTTTGTTTTCTTATTTTTGGTTTTATATTGAAAAACAAATTAATGAATGATACACAGATTCCAGATACACAATTTAGCAATGCCAGTGTTTAAAGGTGTACTATGTAACTTTTGTAGTGAAGGATAAACTATTTGTCTCAGTGGAGTTGTATCCTATTAACCTGATGTATCTCCATGGACACAAGCAGCTCAAGTTACGTGGCGGACCCTCACCAGAAAAGTACACAGTGCAGCTTTAACTTATAGTGCGTGTATATTTACAGTTGTGTGCTGTTTCTCCGTCTGCACGTCGGACTCAAACGTCTGTTTCTGGAGGAGTTTGTGGAATTCAGTTCTCTCTGCGTACGAGCTCCAGCCGTCGCCCTGGCACCTGCAGAGACACAGGGACAGAGAAATAAACAAAACGACACACACACGCACCAGGGAAAACACACACACTCCAAGAACAACACACACACACCAAGAAAAACAGCCCGGACACTACAAATACGAATAAAAGACACACATTATGCAAGACACTAACACCACCTACTTTTATCCATGGAGAACAGCACAGCATTTAACTTACCGTATTTTCCACACTATTAGGAGCTCTGGATTATAAGGCGCACTGTCATTAAATGGTCTGTTTTTGAACTTTTTTCACAAATAAACCGCACCGGACTTTAAACGAAACACAACAGTCGGACGGGTCAGTGGGACTTTGGCGCGTTCACGGTGACTCTGGGCTTTGTTCAGTTGTGGCGTGTAGGGAGGGTGCTGTCTGGGGCCGCTGGATTGTCGGCGTGTTCGCAGTGACTCAGTTCTTCAGTTGTGGCTTGAAGTGGCACATTGCGCTCGCTTTTTCGGTTCGTTCCTCCGTTCCGTTCCTCGTCGGTGTGGAGTGATGAGTGTGGCTGTGGGTGTGTTTCGCTGTGCGGTCGCTGTCTGCTCCGTGTGTGTTTGCGTGCGCTGCGGGTGGTGCGGCTTTGTAGTTTACTGAAGTCGTGCTGGGACACCCGAGTGGATTCATGTATGGGGTGCTCTGGATTGCGGGGCGCGCAGTTGTTTTTTGATGGGGTTGGAGGCTTAAGAGTGCGCCTAATATTATGGAAAATACGGTACATATCTTTCATATATTTCATGATGGTTACTTTTATTGCTCCAAAATAAAAAAACATGTCCAAGAAACAACTGTGCTGGAGGAGTTCTATGTATCTCTGTTGGCAGAATTTTCACCAGTTTTCATCATGACAACGCACATGAGCAAGAACAGATAAAAAAGTTTAAAACTCATCTAAAATGACAAAACAGGACATTTTTTGGGAGCCTATGGACCAATACGAGCATCACACCCCCAGGGAATGTGGATAATGTCAGCTGCAAAGTAACAATAATATTATAAAACAAACAGTTTTATTTTGCGTGACATGCTCTTAACACCTTTGTGAAGTAAACACGGTGAACACAACCTATAATAGGAGTGCACTGTCAACAACTGTCAACAGTAACTAAACACTCAGGAGGAGGAGGTGTAATCAACTCAAGTGACTCAGGGGAGTTTCCTGTTTTAATTACATGCAAATTCCTCGACAGATACATCATACGCTTTCCAGATTTCAACACATAATATCTGGAAATACTTGTTTTACTACTAAAACTTGTTTAATTACTCATGTCTACGTTACAAGTGTGATTGTAAGACAGACATTAAGGCAATAAGGCTCCACAACTGCACGGTTAACTGCAGCTGAATCAAAACCCAATCTGAAGTGCCCCATTATATTAAAATCACAAAGGTTGAAATTGTTTTAGCTCGTAGAATGTCCTATGTAAACAATAAAATATCTAAATAACCTCTTTAAAAGTCTGTATTACACAAACTTGATGTTATAATGTTGTTACCTCATCAAAAACATGCCTGGAGTTGAGTTATGTTTCATTTGTCTTTGTCTTTTGTTTGTCTACATCTCCAAAGCTCAAAATGCTCAGTTCCACCTTGTGATGTCATGATGCTGAAATTGATTCTAATGATTCTAGTGAAGATGTTTGGGCAGGGGTGTCAAACTCAGATTCACAGAGGGCCAAAATTTAAAATTGGGACTAAAAAATTTCAACAACATCTGCATGTTTTCTCTTGTGTTAAATGTTAAACCTTTTCTTATTAAAATAAACGTTTAATAATAGTTTTGCTTAAACACTGAATCCAGAACAAGCATAATATAAAATAATATCAAAATTTTTAATAACCAATGTCTCTATAGCCTATCTGTAGCCGGTGGGCAGCTCTAATACATATTTGATATAATCTCGGGGGCCAAATATAAGTTGACATGTCTGACGTATGGTTTTAAAAGACCGTGGGGCATTTCCTGTATTACCACATGACATCACAAGGTGGTTGAGGAGAAGAACTCAGCCTAAATATGCAGGGTTTGTGTGTTAAACTTGTGTCAGTGAAATAAAACTCAGTTCCAGGTATGTTTCTGATGAGGAAACAACATTAAAACATGGATGAAAATATCATAATATAGGACCTGTAAACTGGGATTCTTGTTTTAGTTAGTTTAAATTGTGTACTGCAAAGAATTATGACAACTTATCCATCTAAATTTCACATTTTTTCCTAAATTGTGCAGCTCCAACGTACACTAATGTTACAGGCTTTGCAATACAAACTGAAAATGCGCTCAGAGTTTTATGTGAATTCCATAGTTGAAGACACTGACAATAACTGCCAGAAATACGCGTCTTATCACAAGGTTAAAACGAGGCCAAGTGTCCTTCTTCTAATAAACTTTATTTACCTTCTGGTGACGACAATCCAAGGCTGGGTGTAGCTCTTCACGCAGTCTCTCACGTGAGGATCCAGCTCCGGTCTACAGCACCACAAATGAAAAATGAGTATTATTAGTATAGAATAGTAAAAAGTACAGGAGTATAGGGCTGTCAGAAGTATCAAAATCAGATAATAATCAACTCTAAAACTAGTATCAAAACTAAAACACTCATTTGGGCAAGTATCAATACTAAAAAAGTCAGATTCACATGACAAAAACCTTTCCTGATTGACATTTTAGTATCGTGACAACACTAGTATAGCAAAGTAAAGTACAGTATAGTGAAGCGTAGTAGTATATTAGCCTGACTTTGAACATTTGAACATAGATAAGGGGATGATTTGTATTCTCTTGTTGTTATCCTCATGGTCAAGGTTGCAGATAAACTTACATAACTCAAAATGACAGCATAAACATAAAGACCGCACTGTTCCATCGTCAAGTGTGTCAAATAAATGCACTAATCAACTGTCTGTGTGCACTTATTTGACCTTTAGAAACGCCTGAACAAAATGATGCACAATACAGCGTAAAGTTATTGCAGCACAGTCAATATAAACAAACTCAAACATCATAAATCTAAAGTTGTTGGCATAATCCACTATCTTTATTATAAGAAGGGAGCAAATCTATTTAGTTTAGATTAAAAAGAAAAGAATAATAATACAATTTAAAACAAGATCCATCCATTTTCTTCTTCTTATCCGAGGCTGGAATTAAATGGATAGATCTTGTTTTAAATTTTATTATTTAATACTTAATTTTCTCGTATTATGTACTATCTACCTTAGCACCTGCACTAATGTAGGTCATAGGCATACAATATCAAAACTGCTAGTTGTGTTTTATGTACATTTTTGTCATTCCAGTCACAGTAATCAGATGGTATTTTTTTTAGAAATGATCACAAATCCACTCAACCAAATCAAACATGGCAACGCCGACAGACGTACAGCTTGCAGTAGTGTAAATACAGACTATTTTATTGCTGAAAAACATGCCGAGGGAAGGGCTTTGTGCTTTTCTCTCAGCTGGATTTAAGTAAAGTTTGATTTTTCACAGCTTGTTTTCTGCTGTTGTGAAACTTTGACCAATCAGATTCAAATATTTGACATGATGTTTTGCCTTTTCCAGACCTTTCAGTGATTAGTATTTCCCACCTCAAATACGAAACTCTGATAGTCCAACAAGAGTCATTTGGTCTTCAATCATTAATTTATTCAATTCTTTTTTTCAGACCAAGGTTTAGCTGTAGGTTTAGTTGTGTTTAGTTTTGATACCCGACAGTTTCGACTGCTCACTAGTGGTTTTTCTCAACGTGGTCACATGAGGGATTCTGGGATACTGTCCTGAACAAGGCTGTGCAAAAATATTGAAATATCAATATACTGCATCGCTTAATGTGACGATACAGTATCAATATTGTGGGCTGCTGTATCGATATATCACCAAGAGTATTTTTTTATATATTTTACTTAGGGGTGTTAATTGCATTAATTATTTAGCGCGTTATGTTTTTTAATCGTTAATTTTTAATCTTTAACTGTTTCTGTACGTGAGTTGCCTTATTATAAAATCTTTTTTTTTATGTGTTGTAGGGACAATAACACATCGCTTCCGCAAACAATTGTGATTTTCTTTCTCGTTCTCGCCGCATCTGCGATAAACCTGCACACGTCTGATCTCTGAAAACATCACGACACAAACACAGAACAGACTCACCGTCACCTTCAACACTCTGTCACAGAAAGAACACTCATATTCCACTGAGTCGTGTCCTTCAGTCCCACAGAAGCTGAACTGCATCAGCGACACAAGAGCATTTTTTTTTTTTTCTCACTTAGTTTATGCAAATGAGCCATGCGGTTTTTAAGTTTCGTTTCTGTGAGACTTGTGCAAATCAGCATTAAACACATTATAATTTCAAACGAGCTGATGTGGCTCTAGAGTGTTCATGGTTTATATGTAATAATAATAATGTAATAATGAATTTAAATGAAAATACCTCAAGTTGAAGGCTTTTCTCAGCAATTTTTAGGTGAGATTAAAAAGAGATTAATTAGATTAATTAATTACAGATCATAATTAATTACTCTCTCAATTTTTTTAATCGCCTGACAGCACTAATTTTACTAAATTATTTTGTTACAGCATTACAGTTTTGTTACTTGTTCAGAGAAAAAAAATGCGTTTATGCAACAGATTTAACATATTCACTGTTTTAATGATTAAAATGGGTGTGTTTCATATGAACTTTGTACAAAAAGTGGTTTAAGAAAGACTTTTAGTATCACAACCGTGACATAGCCTTTATATTTTATTGAACTGTATTGAATCAATTTGAAATATATCGTATCGAATCGTATCAAATCGAAAGCTCACTGTATCGAGGTATGTATCGTATCGCCAGCTTCTGACTGATACCCAGCCCTAGTCCTGAAGAAGTCAGACTGCAGATGGCGCTGTCCTGCCTCCACTGGTAGGAACACAGCGCCAAAACCTGTTTAAATCAGCCGACCGGACACGTCACCGCAACATCACTGTAACATCACTTGACCACTCTAAGGAAGACTGCTAGTAAGTAGTCGAAATGGTCAAGTATGAAAAAGAACTAAAACTTAATCTGAAAAAAGAATCTCTTAAAATAAACAAATCTTCCTTGTTGTTTTGGAAGTAGTAAATAGCCCCATATACCCACCCATCCTCGGGGACAGAGTGGCGGACGGTTCGGCACTCCCTCTCCACCTTCTCCACGCTGAGGTCGTCATTGGGGAAGTCTCCGAGCTCCTGCATCAGGCCCGAGTCTGTGCTGTATAACTGAGACATCAGGAAGTCCTCCAGATCCAAGGGGTCCACCGCCTCGTACGACTGCGGCTGAAGGAGCATCGAAAAGAAACCAGTTACAAATCAGGAAAAATCTAAGAATGTACAGATGTGCAGATGGTTTGAGACTGATTTTTTGGGGGGTATTTATATGAAACTATAGCATATGTAAATCATTATATTACATTTTATTCACTGTAAACTGTTATATTGGCCTATTAAAATCTTAAAGGGCCCATATGACACTATTTTCAGATCTATTTTATGTTATACTGTTGTTTCTTCATCAAAAACATACTCTGAGCTGTGTTTTGTTTCATTCACACATGTTTAACACACAAGCCCTGTAGATTTAGACTGAGTTCTTCTCTCAAAAAGAAAACATTCTGTTCCACCTTGTGATGTCATGTGGTAATTGCAAGTCTCAAGTAAGTCTCAAGCCTTTCACCTCAAGTCAGAGTCAAGTCCCAAGTCAAAGACAGGCAAGTCCAAATCAAGTCTCGAGTCACTGGCTTATAAGTCCAAATCAAGTCCAAGTCGTCTGCTTTGAGCTTCAAGTCATTTCAAGTGTTTAAACAAAAGTACCAAATATAGCTTAGATTTTTGCAATTTATATGATTTTTAAGATAAATTATTATACTTTAAAAAAAAAAAATCATAGTGTATTTAGATATGAGTATTTATAGAGTATATAAGAGTTGTAGAAATTAATTTAGTTAAATTTTTCCTGTTTAAATGTCTTGACAAGATCTTAGTGTGAATTATTACGGTCAGAACAGAAAGAATTCTCGACTTGCTTCAAGTCTTTTCAAGTCATATGTTTCCAGTCCGAGTCAAATCCCAAGTCTTTGACCTTAAAGTCCAAGTCGAGTCCCAAGTCTTAGTCCATTTTATCAAGCCAAGTCTCAAGTCCTAAAAATAGTGACTCAAGTCTGACTCGAGTCCAAGTCCCGACCTCTGACTCCCTACACTTTCACTAGAATCACTGATTACGATGATGATTTCAACCACGGAATTGCCATTTTCTGCAGCAAATAAAGTACATATCCTCATAGTTACATTTCACTATAACCCTACATGTATGAGCTGGAGTCTGAAGTAAATACAGACCTATGGGCGGAGTAGGTGAAAACAGACATTTTCAGAACACTCCACCCTCAAATGCTAAAACATGCATCAGTCTATCAAAATACAACCAAAGGAAACACCATTATAAAACCATGGTTAAAGGTTCTGTGGATTTTGCACAGCATGTCCCCTTAAATGTTTTCCAGGATTCCTCGGCTGTATTGGAATGCTGGTTCATCCGTCCACACGAAAATTGATGTACGATAAATAAATGCATTATAGAGAAGCATGAAATAGGTCAGGATCGTGTTTCATAACAACTGTACAACTTCTCCTTCTCACCAACCACCACCTAACGCAACATTTGGCTTTTCAAGAAACAAAATAAATAGTTCTAAATAATAATAAAGTGTCTCTAAATAAAACAAAACCTTATGTACATGCACCACCATTAAAGAAACTCTGTCTTATGCTAAAGTCACACTGATAGTATTTTGTGGTTTTTCTATACCAAAGTTAACCTGACTCATGGGTTTACACTAGCCACAGACATAAACAAAGGAGGGGGTGTGACCAGCAAGTTTAATCCTGTATTTTCTAATGGCCCATACCTGCCAAGCAACAAATGAATTCATAACACATTTAAGCCTGTCACAATGGCTTTAATTTTCAAGTGTGATATATTGGTACAGAGAACGCTAATACTAAAACTGCTCTGACACAAAAACATTAAAACAAGATAATCCAAGTACACACTAGCTCTCTATCCAACAGCGCATAAACTTCAAGATCCTCACAGACCTTGTCCAGCTGCACCGCCCCTCCCGCCTCCTCCGATCAGCCCATTCAAACCTCCTCACTCCCACTGACAAATCAAAGGACTGTATCTTGGGGGACTGTTCGCCATCACTGCTCCAACCCTCTGTCCCTACGTCTAAGGTACAGTGTGGAACTTTCTGGCTGTAACCTGCACCTTTCCATGGAAATTGAAAATTAAATTCAGACTTCAGAACATTCACCATGGAAATAGAGAGATTTTATGTCACACTGTGGAATATTACTAACCAGACTAGCGCCACCCAGTGCCTCCGCTCAATTTAATTTCTCTCCAGTGACTAGGTCAGAAATCGGAAAACACTAGACGGTTTACAAGAACCCCGGAAATTGTAGACCGCGCATCGGCCAATCAGCGAAGAGCTGTGAAGACAAATTCAAGCGTCTGTCTGGTCCCTTTTGTGGTACAGCACAACTATAAACAAAGCCATAGAGATGGATGTAGACGAAGACATACCTTCTGTGTTGGCAACGATTCCCAAGATCGAGGATATAAAGTCGTAACAAAGAGAATGTTTGGTGATTTTTATCAAGGGGAAAGACGTTATTGCCCTTCTTCCTATGGGATTTGGCGTATTACATACATCACGACCAAAGAGCAGTGATTGGTTAAATAAAAAAAGTACCCGCGTACCATCGAGCAAACGAATCCTAATGCTGCGAGGTCAGACGGTTTCCACCAAGTGAAACATTTCCATGGTCAAATAATAGTCAGGTTTGTGGAGAAGCAAGCCCACTCACGACAAATGGTTATCCAAGTTTTTCAGTGCCATAAAAACCAAACCAACAAACCAAAATGAAAAAAAAGAAGAAAAAACAAGAAAAACAAGCTTTTAATTTGGTCTACTGATACTTTGCAGTGACAACCCACTGGGCATGTTTTGCATGTACGCCTGTGGTCGAATATTCATCAGCTACCGTGGTAACACAAAGCACACAATAGCAAACCCTACCAAAAAGATTTGAGATCATCTGAAAACTCAAGAAAAATACAAAATGGATTTAAACAACATGATACGAGCATGGTCATGGTCCAGATCACCTGTTGTAGTTCCCACTAAGTCAAATCTTTTGGCTCAGATTGTGTTAAAACAAGCACAGATTTTAGGAGCAGTATTGAAAAAGTTGTCTTTACTTTACCACACAATTTTGAGACACTGTAAGAAAAAATAGATTTATAATACACTACTGGCTGCTGGAAAGAAGTGTATCACAAGAAGATGGCTTAGTGATAAAGTTCCTTGCCTTGAGGATTGGATGAATGTTGTCCAAACTATTTACGTAATGGAAAAACTGACATTTTATTTTCATTTTATGAGACCTGACTTTGACAAATTTGACAATTATTGGAAAACTTGGAGAGTGTTTGTTGCCCAATTTAAATCAGATTTTAACTGAGTTTGACCTGATGAAACCATTGTATTTTTATTTATGAATATATTTTTTTCTTGTTTTCTTATTATTACCAAGCATTTTTTGTTCAAGCTTGACAATTGTTGTTATACATGTACAGTGACTTTCTTTATTTTTGGAAAAGGAGAAAGGGGACTGTAGTTGACGTGCTGTTTCAGTGTACGATATATTATTATTATTATTATTAAAAAAACAAAAAACAAAGCTCAGATGAAGTCTAACTTGAGTAACAAACTTCAGACAGATCAGAGCCTCCAGTTAGCATCACACCTCCAGGGAATGCTGCAAAGTATCCGTTCTGAGGCTAAAAAGTTACATATTGTGGCTTTAAATAAATGTTAAAATCTGCTTTGTGTTAGACACCAGGCACAGTCTATTTTTATCCCCCCCTTCCCCAGAGCCTCTGCGCTTCAAAAGACGGCTGCTTTCATGAACAGTACAAACAGTTCGATTTTTCACACGTGTCCTTTTCAAACGTGTCACATGACCAGAGCCGTGCCGCTGCCAGGGCGGCTGAATGGAGTTTGCTCAGGGAAAATAAAGAGGCGATAACATCTCGAGATATAAAGAGGAACAGAGTAGGCCAGGTGTTTCTGTGACAGCAAACAGGGAGGCGGGCCAGTCTGATCTCACTCACAGATGGACAGTGGAGGGGCAAAATGAAAATGTGCTTTCAAAGAGCAGGTGAACTAAATATGGTCCACCCACTTAGAGGTTAGAGGTGGAAAAATGTATTGTTGCTATGGAAATATGTAAAGTTAGAATATCAAGAATACTGTCTATAATTTCACGAACGAATTGAAGAGTCTAAAAGCAAAAAAGATATCTCCGTTTTGAAAAATTGCCATTCATTTTTCTTTTCTGTTAACATCTTCTACAGGTATTGACTTTTTCAAATGGCACTTATCTGGTTTTGCAAATAAACGCAAACTCTTCAAATATTTATGTTTTATTATGCAACAGTAATGAGTGCAATTTGACAACAGAAAGGCTTAAAATGAAATGCAATGAATGGAGTGTTCAGTAATGTATTGTTTGGACCACAGTGACCCCAGCCCTTTGGGACCACAGTCGGAAATTAGCCATGGGTTATAATCCAGTATGTTTACATTCATGTTGTATCATGTTTGTCCCAATCAAATAAATAAATAAATAAATAAAATCAGTCTGGAGATGATTAAGAGACTTCTATCTGTGTTTGGTGAAGCTCAGAAGCTCAGGACCTTGTACAGAAGATTAATGTAACCACAGTGAATGATGTGAACTACATGTCCGGGTTTGTTTTTAATGAGGGAACAATATTCTAACACGGTTAAAAGCTCAAAAGTCAATTATGCATGTGTGTTATTTAAACAAAAGGTTAAAAAGGGCTGCAAAAAGGGCAGATTAAAAGGTAAAGACACATACAAGTCATAAAAAAGGATAAGATATAGGAAAAACATGCCCCGGAAATCCTGCGTTCCTCCATGTTTTTAAAATCCATATCTTCAAAAGACTCATGATCTTTCAGGTCTCAGATTGCATAAACCAATGATGCATCTCAACTTTGAAGATAGCGGCTATTGCTTTTTAGCCAGGTTGGCGCCACCTAGTGCATCCACTCAGTTTCATTTCTCTCCAGCGACTAGATCAGGAATCGGAATACACTAGATGGTTTGCAAGAACCCCAGAAGTTGTAGACTACGTGCCGGCCAATCAGCGAAGAGCGTTGAAGCCATGACGCCTAAACTCAAGCA